AAAACAGCATAAGGTGGTCAAGCTCTTGGGCCCCTGCCACCCACGTGGGACACTCCTGGCTTCCGCCTGGCCCAGGCCCAGTTGTTATGGCTATCTGGGGAGTAAGTCAGCAGATGGAAGATTCATTCTCTGTCTCATTCTGCCTTTCAAATATAGAAAGAAAGAAAACTTTAAAAATAAAAATGAAAAGTGACCGAAATCAGTGGTTTTCAAAGTATAAGGTAGGGCTCACGGGGATTCTCAGCACCGAGCTGTTTTGACAAGAAGGGCCATAACTGCCTTTGTCACTGGGTTGACATGGCAATGACATTGCGAAAGCAACTTGGGTGAAACTGCTGCCTTAGCAGAAATCAAAGCAGGAGTACCAACCCTTACTGTGGTCAAGTCCTCATTGCCAGACACTTGTGTATAAAAATGGGGAAAAAAGGTCACTTAACAATGCCCCTGATTTTGCAATAAATATTAGTTTCATTACATTTCAACCCTTGAGTACAGTGTGTTTTGAAATGAGAAATAGCAGCAAGCACACGGGCTGCCGATGAAGACAATTGTTGTCCCCAGTAGAAGCACTTGTGATAATTGCTGGCATAGCGAGCTCAACTAAACGCTTCCTTCCGAGTTGGCAAATGGCATGCTCACATGTATATCATATTTGGGTTTTTGAGACAGAAAAATAGGTAACCAGATGTGGAGACTGCCCACTTCCATCTGTGGGTTTAACCTCGAAATGCCTGCAATGGCCAGGGCTGGGCTGGGGCCAGAGCCAGAAGCCAAGAACGCGATCCAAGTTTCCCACGTGGACGTCAGGGGCCCAGATCTTTGAGCCATGATGGCAGCCCCTTTGGGTCTGTAGTGGCAGGAAGCTGGAGCAGGAGTAAGAGCCCAGTGTTGAATCTAAATATTGTGACATGGGATGCCCAAGCAGTGCCATCAATGCTGGGCTAAATGCTCACCCTCATCTGTCAAGGGTTACACTGGATGGCCAGGTGGAAGGCACAAGTGAAAGTCCAGGAGGCCAGTGGGGGAGGCAGGAACTGTATGTAGCCAAGTCCAATGCCAGATGATGGGGGATGCCGGGACAGGCACAGTGGTAGTGCGGAGATACCTGCATAGATAATAGATTTATTTTCTTCTTTGTTTTTTTTTTTTTCTTAGATTTATTATTTATTTGAAAGACAGTGAGACAGTACAAAAATTCAAAATGGTATCAGTCATATCAGGCCCTCTAAATCTACATGAGTCTCTAATTGGATGCTTTGTAATATACGCCATCTGAGTTGATTGGATGATCCATGCGAGATTAAAGACCCTGGCCATTGGGGTTCTCCCTTCTTCCACTTGTGATATGGGACAGTTTGTCAACCAGTGAATAAAGACTCTAAAACTTCTAAGAGTCTGCCTCTGACTCATTTTTGAGATAGAATCAGTTAGCTCACAACATTGGAAGGCTCTAGTGAGATCAGGCACTTGGTCTCTGGGGGCTCCCCTGCTGAGACTCCCCTGTGCGGCTGCAGGGCTGGCTCCCCAGAGGACAGCCACTGAGAGAATGCCTCAGCCCCAGTGTGTCCAAACACCCTCGTGGAAACAGAGTCCACAGAGATCAACTCTCATTGGATTCTGCAGTGGAGATGTCTCCCTGGGGGCTGAATGCCTCTGGAGGTCAAGAGTGCATTGCAGGGAAGACCGGACACAGCACTACTTGCTGACTCCAGGCCAACAGCGAGACATTGCCCCGTGCCCTCTGGTCTGTTTCACTCTGATTATTGGTGGCCACCAGTCCAGTGTCTGTGTGAATTGCCTGTGCTATTTTGAATTGATTCCAAGTCCGGTAAGAGATTCTAATCACACCATGGACCAAGGACATGCTAGTAATACTCCTTGATAATACAGGACTAACAATTTTTCTTCCAGAAAAAAAAAAAACAACCAAAAACCAAAAAACATAAACCATCTGATCTCATGGCATCCATTGGCTAACTGGAGTAGCCTTCTTTCAATGTTGGGTGGCCCACTGCCTATCGCATCCAGCGCATCATCATTGGCTGCCCGAGCCATCCAGATCAGGTCCCTTAGATCCTTTGGGTTGAAATGCTTACTGAAAAACCCTCTTAAAGAAATGTTTTAAAATATGAACCATCCCCAACACCCTTGCCGAAGCAACATCCTTTGCCTCCTAGGCTGCAATCTAACGAGGCTCTTACGAAGCAGGGATAAGGAGCCTTCCACCACTTCTTCTTCTTTTTCTTTCTTTTTTTTTTTTTTTGGTAAGATAATTATTTTTATTTTTAATGATTTTCATATAGTTGATTAGGATGATAAGAATCAAGGGCTACAGGAAGGTGGGTGAGATCATTATTTCTACATTCTCTCTCTCTTTTTTTCTTCCTGTATCTCAGGGAAGGACAGAGATAAGGGGAAAGCCACACCCAGCCTCCCAAACACCTCTGTACCCTGGGATGGAGGACAGCCACCTGACACCACCCCAGGGTCCCTGATGTGGAGCATGCTCTGAGGGTCCTGTTCAAGTGGTTTTGATAGCTCAATAGTTCTCAATCCAAGCACATTGAAATTCCTCCAGAACCTACTGGCTGACATAGTCCATCCTACAGTCCCCATTTGCCCAGATATTCACTGCCAACTCTTGGCTGGTGTAGTTGATCCATTTGTCCTGTCCTCTGTTATGGTACCAGTTGTCCTCTGCAGGCTCCAATGTACTGTCATATACTGCATGTGCATCTGGATATGCTGTCCACTGCTCTGTCTAAGCCACTGTGGAGGCCCGGCTGTGACACATGCACTCCACGGTCAGACCATGGAACTTGCAATTCTCTCCACGGTTGGGGCTCTGAGTCCATCAGTTCAGTTGGGAGATTCTCAAAGAAACTTCATCTGAAGATATTCTAGACCTGATTCTCTCTCCATTTTTAAAAAAGATTTCATTTATGTTTATTGGAAAGTTAGATATACAGAGAGGAAAAGAGACAGAGAGACAAAGATCTTCTGTCTGCTAGAGCTGAGTTGATCCAAAGCCAGGAGCCAGGAGCTTTTTCCAGATCCCCCATGTGGGTGCTGGGTGCTCGACTGCTTTCCCAGGCCACAAGCAGGGAGCTGGATGGGAAACGGAGCTGCTGGGATTATAATCGGTGCCCACATGGGATCCTGGTGCATTCAAGGCAAGGACTTTAGCCACTGAACTACTGCGCCAGGCCCCCCAGACCTGATTTTTGTGTGTGTTTGCCAATACAGGGTCCGGCACAGGCTGTGACCCCAGTCAGCTTATGCACATGCTGGTGGTTGCAGTTGCTGGGTCAGTTCCAACCCTGTCTTTTACACAAACCGATACTACCACGTCTTCCCCTTATCCCAACCCCGGGATCAATGTTCTGCTTAGTCCTGCTCTTTCACCCCGATCAGCCCGCTGACTCACCCTCACCCCCTGCCCCCCGCCCGCTGCTCCCCTCCTGTCACCGTGCCAGAGCCCCGCACCAGGCACTGCAAGAATCAAAACTTGTCCTCAGAGAAGCCACAGGTTTAATCTCTCTTTTAGAAACCATGTTTTCCACCCACCAATCTACTTGGGATGATTGCTAGCAATTCCTCCAGACCCCTTCACTTCGGAGGAAAGAGAGCTGATCTTGGGAGAAGGGCTAATCAGGCACCGTCCAGTGACCTGGGACAACTGGACCAGGCCTTCCCAGTCTGCCACCTGAGCTGGGATTATAATTCAGAAAGGGTAGCTCTCACCAATTACCACCATTTGTTGTTGGCAAGAATGTGGGTGGCTGCCCAGATGGCTAACAAATGCTCACCTAACTCAATACCAAAGTTTACTTTTAGAGCAGCACAGGATAAGATTAGATCAGCTCAGCTTCAGCTGTTGCAACCATTTAGGGAGTGAACTAGTGGATGGAAAATCTCTCTCCTTCTTTCTCTATAAATCTGTCTTCCACATAAAAATAAATAAATATATATTTTAAAAAAGTGTAAAATTCATAAGACTCAGTAAATAAACACACGGAAAGGGTTTGGCAAAGAAAGGGCCAAAGATCATACCTAATTTATTTATTTGGCTTGGGCAACATGGTGGATTGTGAGGTCCTCTCTGAACAAGTTAGTTGGAGATTTAGGCTTGCAGGTTAGTGGTATGCAGATGGTTCAGTGGGACAGGTTGAATTTGCTGTGTATGGTGAACATCCAGTGGAGATGTCCAACAGAACTCATGAGCCATCTGGATTGTAGAAAAAACATTTGAAAGTGATTACTGATGTATTTTCATTTTATATGAAAAGCAGAGAGAACTCCCATCCACTGGTTTACTCCCCCACATGCCTGCAACAGCAGGCCTGGGTCAGGCTGAAGCCAAGGAGCCCAGAACTCAAAGCTCTGCTGTGTGCATGGCAGAGAGACCCGGGCAGCTGAGCCATCCTCTGCTGCCTCTCAGGGTGGGCACCAGCAGGCAGCTGGAGTCAGAAGCAGAGCTGGGACTCAGACTAAGTGTTCTGATATGGAAAGTGGGCAGCCCAAGTGGCAGCTTAATTGCTCTTCCACCCAACACCTGCACCACGGCAAAACCATCCGAGGTTTAGCCAGCTTTAGCGGTTCAGAGGAAAGTGGTCCAGGGTCCCTAGGGCATCTCAGAAGTCCTCTCAACCAGGCCTCTTCTACCACCTGGGCCTCTTACCACACACGCCCTAGAGGCAGCCATTCAGCAAGTGCTCTCAGCATCCTGGGGCAAAGTGCTGCTCACCCCAGCTGCCGCCAATTGTCCTCCCGCTCGCCTCCTACTTCTCCTTTCTCCAAAGTCCTACCGAACAGTAACTGGTTCCACGGCCTGCGGCAGCCGCACTCAGGGCTCAGGCCTGACTCAGCTGTAAGTTTTTCCCTTGACTTTAGCATTTTCACTTTAACATCTGCTCGAGGAACCAGGGGGTGGAGACCCCAGCCCCAGATGGTGACGTGGGGGGGGACCCGCCCAGGCTTGGGGTGCGGAGGAGCTTCACTACTAGGCTTCCTGTCTCTCTTTGCTGGAGCCCGACTCTGTATAAGCAAACGAACCCTCTCCCCCACTGGGCTGCTGGCTGCAGAGTCCCAAGCTTGCAACCAGACACACCTGTGTGAGACAAGCAGAGGCAAAGGAAGCCCTGGGCCCAAGAGGTAAGTGGATGGACTTGTTGCGGAGGACAGAAGAACATGGCGGCAGGTGCACTGAACTGTGCTGGATTCTGGGTTTTCTGCTCACCACTCTGGTCAGTTTCTCTTGAGTTTTTCTGGGCTGGGTTGGGACAGTAATCTCCCAAGGAAACCTTGAGCTTCAGGAGGCTGCAGCCTATACATAACCAGGGTCCAGAGCTGGAGGGCTTGGGGGACTGACCCAATCTCAAGATCAGAGGGAGGAATGGGGACTTGGGACCTCCTCAGGATGAAAAAAGGCAGCGGAGGTCAATTAGGTATGGGGCGGTGGAGAAGGCGAAGGCTGGGAGAAGGAAAAGAAAAGAAAAAGTCTGTGTGCGTGTGTCTGTATAGAATCAGAACAAATGAACATTGGGGTGAGAGGAGACCTTGCACAAAGAAATAGAGAGCGAGAGGAAAAAGGTAAAAGTAAGAAAAAGAGAGAGAGGAGTAGAGTCCTGCTTAGAGATAGCTCTCCCCAAATCAATCTTCCCAATGACGCCATCACCAAAAGTTTACCCTGCTTGCATTTACCAAAAGTTCTCCCTGCTTGCATTTCCCAAGCAAAACACTGTTCCAGTAGCCGCTTAAATATCTCTCGTGTTTATTTCAAAAGGTAGGCCTAGTTGTGCACATTTTTAAGGATTTGTGAGCCACAGGTCTAAAGACATTCTGAGTTTGACTTAAAAAGCAGAAAACAAGCAAGTTCAAATTCTCAAAGCATTGAAACGGAGCTTTTCCATGTACGTGTTGCAAAAGGGACAGATACGTATGTTGAGGAAAATGAGTCAACAGAAGAATAGCGGCTAATGGAACAGGTTTTAGGGGTCACTGAGGCAAAGGATCAAGAAAGCATTTGCAGGTCTTCGCTCTGTGTTATGTGGGGAGAGGACCGATCTGTGAGTCTCAAAGCGGGTCGCCCTGTGTCGCCTGGCCTGCCATCACCGTGGCCTTCCCCTTTCTTGATCCTAGCACCTTCAGCCTTGCAGCCAGGCAGTGCCCTCCCGGGGAGTGAGAGGGCCTCCACTGTCCCTCTCCTGACTCAGCCTGGGAAGCACCTCTCCTCTTCTGCTCCCTCCACACAGACAGACCCCCTTTTCATAACACAAAGGTGTCACCATAAACTGGCCAGCGCCTTCTGAATGGCCGTGCCCTCAGAACACCAGTTTTGGGGTCCAAGCATCTCCCCCAGTAGTAGAAGATGCTGTTGGGACCATTGCTGCTTCACACTTTGACAGAAGATATTGCATGTGTGTGGTTCTGTGGGTGAGACAAAATGGCCACCCTGCACCTGCGTTAAAAGGCTCTGCAGGGCAGGCCCTGCAGGCGCTCAGGCGATGTCCCTCCAGCCTGGGACATGCTTGTGCACGGGGGAGGACTAGCTCTAAATAAAAACCCTCCCCCGCATCAGATCTGGGTGGGCCAAGGGTGCTGAGCACTTCAGACCCACCAATAAAGAGAGGTACAGTGAAGTTGCACTAGGTGCTTGGGTGCCTGGCAGGCCTGGGGTGGGGGTCACGGCTCCGGAAGGCATCTTTCAAGCATGAGGGCAGATGGGGGGCACAGCTCCCCCGACGTGGGTGTCTGAGGCAAAGGAGAGGATGGTGGAGGTTGCAGCCACCAACCGCACAATCCCTTAGAGGGTCCCGGTCTCTAGGAAGTTTACACGAAGCCGATTGCTGTAGACACGCTGTGGGGGGGCTCGGGGGTGGGCTGAGGGTGGGTTGAGGGGGCGCCTCCAGAGAGGAGATGAAAGCACCCCCGGGGACCACAGAGTGTCGCTGCGGCGGCTGGGTGCCGCATCCCGTCCCTGCCCAACCCCCCAGCCCTCGTGCTGAGGCCCAGGGCGAGGTGGAGGTGCAGGCTGACAGGGACCTCTAAGGCTCCGAGCAAGGCTCGCTGCCGCGCCTGTGTGCTGCCTTGTAGGTCTGCTCTTCCACTGGCCTCCCCCTTTCTCATGCACAGGTGGGAAGTGCAGATCTGCTGTTTAGCCCTGAGTGTGGGGTACTCACTCTCCCTCTGCCCCCCAACCTCCCTAGAGGCCTGGGAAGAGGCCAGGGTCTCTCTAAGGGAGCCTGGGAGCACTTGGAGGAGGGTGGCCTCCTGGGGGGTGAGGCCCTGGAACAGCTGCCGAGACACCCTGGAGACCAGGGAAGCATCAATGCAGGAACACACAGAGGGGAGCAGGTGTGTGTGTGTGTGCGCGCGCGCGCGTGCTCGGGGGCCCCTTCCCAGCCCCTCAGGCAGGGGACCACAGGATGTACAGCGCTGTGGGGATGCAGTGGCAGCGGAAGGAAACCCGGCTACAAAGCAAGAAGCCACTGGAAACCCACAGCCGCCTCCCCCCCGCCCGACCCCCCTGCTCCGCAAAGGGACCGGGGAGGGCGGGGGGTCCGGTGCTGGGAGGTGTAGGCAGGAAGGCTGGGCTCTTCAAGGACCCCAGGATCCTGGAGTGTAGGTGTGGAGGAACTGCTGGGGACAAGATGGCCACCCTAAGGGGAAGGGGACCAGAATGCCCCGCCTCCCAACCCTGCTCTCCGCCCCCAGCCTTCCTCAGGCCTCTGGAACTCAGGTTGGGTGTCCTGGGGGGAAACTAGCCTCCTGCGTGCGACCTTTTCCCACTGGTGGCACAGTCTGGGACAGGGAGGGGGGGATGGAGCAGAGGCAGTGGGAACTAAGTTCTGCACCCCCACTCTGCTCACTCCTGTCTTGCCCTAAGTGCTTCCTGCCCTACTGAGTCACTGGCAACACTTTGTGCATCGCAGAGTGCCCTGTTCCCTGGGTTAAACAAAATCTTAAATTGACCCTGCCTTGGGAGGGGAGGAGGGTCCCAGGCGATTCCTCCTTCAGACAGGAGGCGGGGTTACAGGAGAGCTCTTCAGATCTTTTCCCAAACCTCAGTAGCAACACTAACTTCCCAGCACTTCTTCTGAGGGCTACATCCCTGACTAGCCTGTGTGTGCCCAGCAGGAAGCCTCATACTTCCCAAAGGATCTGGGGGGACCGTGGGAGGGGATGAATGCAGGGGGAGGAGGCAGCCACGTAGACATGCTGAGACAAGTAGACATGGCAAACTTGGACAGGGTCCTAAAAAACCGAGTGGGAGTGGCAGGGGAGGGGTTGCCTAGCAGCAACTGTGCTTAGGTGGGGTGACACGAGGGTGGACACTCAGCATTGCCAGGAAAGACACCCAGAGCAGGGGGAAATACTTTAGCACTCCTAATTCACTTCTCCTTTGTAAAAACATCTTTTTGTTAAGATGTGTTTATTTGAAAGGCAAAGTGAAAGAGGGAGACAAAGAAAGATCTTCCATCCACTGGTTTACTCTGCAAATGGCCGTAACAGCTAGGGCTGGGGCTGGGTCAGACTGAAGCCAGGAGCTAGAAGCTTCTTTTAGGTCTCCCACGTAGGTTCAAGGGCCCAAGTACTTGGGCAATGCCCCACTGTTTTAACAGGTGCATTAGCAGGGAGCTGGATCGGAAGTGGGGCAGCTGGGACTCCTGGTAGCACTCTGACACAGGATGCTGGCATTGCAAGCTGCAGCTTAACCCACGGGACCACAACACACCCTTCTATCTCATCTCTTAGGGCACTGCCTTTTGGCCAGCACTCCTGGCAGCTGCTGTAGGGTAAGGGAGAGTGGCTGGCGTCGTGGCAGTTAGCTTGGGTAGAGAGCAGGGCAGAGAGAGTAGCTAGCAGGGCCTGCTACTCAGCAGCAGGTGTAGGATGCCTGGAGCCCAGACCAGGGCTGGTGGTATGGACACACGTATCTGATCAACCTGATGGACTGATTGATTGATTGAACTTATTTGAGTGGCAGAGAGAGAAATAAATGTTCCATCTACCCTTCCCTAAATGCTGGTAACACATGCAGTGGGTCAAGCCAGAGCCAGGAAGCTAGCACTCTACCTGAGTCTCCTCATGACCTGCTCTCTCCCAAGCTATGCATTAGCAGGGATCTGGAGCTGTAAGTGGAGCTGGCATCCAAACCTGGACACTCTGTGTGTGTGTTGGTGGGGGAGGCATCCCAAGGGGCTTTTTCAGTGCTGGGCAAGAGGTCCAGCCTGAATTCCAGGTTTTCAAACTGAACCAAACCTCAGTAACCCACAGGCCTATGGAAACACCAGTAGCCAACAATCTACCTCCACTTTCTAATTTAGTAGGTCTGAGGCCAGGCCTGAAAATTGGCATTTTTTTTGTTTCTTTTAAAAAATTATTTATTCATTTGAAAAGCAGAGAGAGAGAGAGAAAATGGATTTCCCTTCTGCTGGATAATTCCCCAAATGCCTATAGCACCTGGGGCAGGGCCAGGAGCTGGGACTGACTCCAGTGAACTTGAACATTGGATAAGGCTGTCCCACTGGTGTGACAGCCACTCCATAAATGCCCACCCCTTGCATCCCTTTCTGATCCCACACGACAGGCAGCCCACTCCTGTACCAGGCACAGCATATTGTTCAAAACTTACCTGAGTGTTATTTAAAAAACTATGTGTACCCAGACTGTTTCCACTTCCTGTTGGTTGTTTTTTTTCCAGATTGCTCAATGCTTTAAAGTGCAAGGACACCTCCACTTTAAACCTTGCACGGGCCTGCAGCACCCTAGCTCTTAACAGGCAGGCAGCAGACTCAACAAAAATTGAAAGTGAAACAAGGCAGCTTGAAGGCCGCTCAGGCCAGCGTTCCAGTGCAGCTGGCCAAGCCACTGCCTGTGACACTGGCATCCCACGTCAGCTAGCTCTAGGCCTGGCTGCTCTGCTCCTGAGCCAGCTCCCTGCTGAGGGTCCTGGGAAAGCAGTGGGACATGGTGCAAATCGTTGAGGTCCTGACATCTAGGGGTGGAGTTCCTGGCTTCTAGCTTCAGCTGGTTCGGCTCCAGCTGTTGTAGCCCGTTGGGGAGGGGACCAGCTGATAGAGGAATCTTACTGCATCTCTCCTCCCTCTCTGTAACTCTGCTTTCAAAATAAACAAACGTTAGCAATAAATAAATAAATAAAAGGAACAAAAAATTTTTACAAAGTGCAGCTTACACCTGGGAATATGTTCTATGCTTGCAAACTTCAACATCAAAGTGATTCAGTTCAGAGAGGAAAGGAAGTTGTGTGGAGGATAAAGTTGTCGTGGCCTAGCAAGTGAAGCACCTGCTTGGGATACCCACACCCGTATCGGAGTGCCAGTTCAGTGAATGCGCCTCTGGTTCAGTTTCCTGCTAACGCATCCTGGCAGGCAGCAGAGGATGATCCAGGTGCCTGGGCCCTGTCAGCAGGCTGAGAAACCCGGATGGAGTCTCTAGGCTTTTGGTTTTGTCAGGGACCTATCCTGGATGGTGTGGGCATCTGGGGAGTGAACAAATGGATGAGAAATCTTTCTTTCTCTCACTTCCTTTCAGTAGATGGAAATAGATAAACATTAAAAAAAAGAAAAAGAAAGAAAGAAAGAAACTATCAGGCCCAGCGGCGTGGTCTAGTGGCTAAAGTCTTCGCCTTGAACATGCCAGGATCCCATATGGGCGCTGGTTCTAATCCCGGCAGCTCCACTTCCCATCCAGCTCCCTGCTAATGGCCTAGGAAAGCAGTCCATGATGGCCCAAATCTTTGGGACCCTGCACCCATGTAGGAGACCTGAAAAGAAGTTCCTGGTTCCTGGCTTTGGATCGGCACAGCACCGGCCATTGCAGTCACTTGGGGAGTGAAGCATCGGAGGGAAGATCTTCCTGTTTGTCTCTCCTCCTGTCTGTATATCTGCCTTTTTAATAAAAATAAATAAATCCTAAAAAAAAAAACAAACTATCTAGAGAACTGGCTTACCACAAGCTTCTGAACCCTGTCTGATACAAATTAATATGCACCAATAAAGACAGAGGTGCACATGGGGCTCATGTGTATATGCTGATATAAAAAGTTCTTGGGAAAATGGAATTAGAAGATATATTCATTTTGGTGCAAAAAATTTAACTGTGGTTTTTTTTCTTTATATATACTTCTGCATGAACATTTTGAAGATCTCGTATGCAGTGAATTTCTTATTTTTTAGTCAAAATTAACATTTCTTTTAGTTTTAATAAACTTCTGAAAACCCTCATATACATTATGAATGAAAAGTTCTGTTTTAGGGCTGGTGCGGTAGCCTAACAGTTAAAGTCCTCACCTTGCTCACACTGGGATCCCATAAGGTTACCGGTTCTAATCCCAGTGGCCCCACTTCCCACCCAGCTCCCTGTTTCTGGCCTGGGGAAGTAGTTGAGGATGACCCAAAGCCTTGGGACCCTGCACCTGCGTGGGAGAACCTAAAAAGTCTCCAGGCTCCTGGCTTTGGATCAGTTCAGCTCCAGCCATTGCAGCCACTTGGGGAGTGAACTAGCAGATAGATGGCAGATCTTCTCTGTCTCTCCTCCTCTCTGTATATCTGACTTTCCAATAAAAATAAAATATATCTCTTAAAAAAAAAAAGAAAAGTTCTGTTTTAGCCAAGTGGAATTGGCAATCCATCCTTCTGTTTTTAAAGTTGAAGCATGGAAGAAATGAAGACTGAAATGGCACTTTATTCTGAATCCAACAGCTTCTTTCACAAACTAATTGTCAAGCCTCACAAACTCAGCAAAACAAGAAAAATGATCCACAATGCTCAAAAGTGCTCATCTCTTTTTATTTATTATGTGGTAATTTTTTTTTTCTGCAATGCTGGGATTCTTTTATGTAACTTTCAAATATTTTCTATTTGCCATGCTTATTAAAATCATGAAAAGTTTTTGTGCTTTTAACACAATTGTTATTTGGTTTATTGGAAAGGCAGAGTGAGAGGGAGAAAGAGCATTTTATCCACTGCCCAAATGCTTAGAGCAGCAGGGGCCAGGCAGGCCAAAAAGTGAAGACCATGGAACTTCGTGTGGTCTCTCATGAGGGTAGTGTTCCCTGTCCGTAGCAGGGTGCCCAGCTTCCAGGCTTGGCTCTGCTTCTGACTTCAGCTTCAGCTGATGCACATTCCGGAAAGGGCTCAAGTACTTGGGTTGCTGCCACCCCTGGGGAAACCTCTCCTGAATGGTAGGCTCTGGCCCTGCCCCAGCCCTGCCTGTCCTGGGCATTTGAAGAATGAACCAGCAGATATTTGGCAGATCAAATGAAATGCAAATTATGTGAAAAAAAAAAAGGAGGAGTCAGAGCTGTGGCATAGCAAATTAAGATGCTAGGAGTGTCAATGGCACCCCATATCAGAGCAGCAATTTGAGTCCCGACTCTCCCACTTTCCATTCAGCTCCCTGATAATACAAGGAGAGCAGTGGAAAGTGAGCCAAGGCCTTGGGCCCCTACCATCCACACGGGAGACCTGGATGAAGTTCCTGGCTCCTGGCTCCTGGCTCTGGCCTGGCCCAGGTGTGAGTTGCGGCCATTTGGGGAATGAACCAGCAGATGGAAGCTCTCTCTCTCTCTCTCTAACTGTGCCTTTCAAATAAGTAATTAGACAAATAATATGAAAAAGCAATAAACAAACAAATAAATAAATTTGGCTTAGCACTTTCTGGCCCATATTGCAAGCTGTCTGCTCAATGAGGTCAAAGTTCAGTCCTCTGAACTGACAGAGGGGTCCCGGGGTGACCCAGTTCCAATAAATGCCAACTGGCCCGTGATTGCTGTCTCCCTCAGTGTCCGTCTCTGCATGCGTGGGTCCTTGGTGCCCCTGACCCCTGGCCACATCAGCAAAGTCATCATGCGCCGGGGACTCTGTTTGCAGTACCTGCTGCTGGTGCTGCCACTGGGTGAGTGCTCCAGCTCCAGGCCCAGGGTGTGGGAAGTGGGGCTGCTGGGGAAATGTGGGAGACGAGGTGGGAGGGGCTAGCTGTGGTGTGGAGGTCTGACCCCTCCTGCTTTGCCACCCAGCTCTACTCCCAGCAGCCACTTGGGGAAGGACCGTGATGCTAGGCAAAGCTGGGGCCTCCAGCATTGATCTGCCGTGCGAGAGTCCCCAGAAGAGACACGCATTGTTCAAGTGGAAACACAGCAACCAGGTCAAGATCCTGGAAAACCAGGCCTCCACCTTCTGGCTTAAAGGTAGGTGGCTCCCTGTCCACAGAGGAAGGCACAAGATGGACTAAGCACCCCTGGTTAGACACCGGCTCTGGCAAACTAAAGGGCAGACGTGGAAAGCAAGTCATGGGTCTTTTTGCCCAGGGTTGCCCAGCACAGCTCCTGCTGGCCCAGATAAAGGCTTTGGTTAGTATATTGCTATAATCATCATGGTCTTATTTTAATAATCATCAAGAAAATAACTGTCACATAAGGCTGAGGGTTTTTTTTTTTAAAGATTTATTTTTTTATTATTTTTTCATTGGAAAGGCGGATATACAGAGAGGAGAGACAGAGAGGAAGATCTTCCGTCCGATGACTCACTCCCCAAGTGAGCGCAACGGCCGATACTATGCCGATCCGAAGCCAGGAGCCTCTTCCGGGTCTCCCACGCGGGCGCAGGTTCCCAAAGCTTTGGGCCGTCCTAGACTGCTTTCCCAGGCCACAGGCAGGGAGCCGGAAGGGAAGCGGGGCTGCCGGGATTAGAACCGGCGCCCATATGGGATCCCGGGCGTGCAAGGCGAGGACCTTTAACCACTTGCGCCACCGCGCCGGGCCCAAGGCTGAGGGTTTTGAGAATGTTATTGTTGCAGATGATACTTGGTTCACTTCTATTAAAAGCACAACAGGGGCTGTTGTGGCTTAATGGGTTAAGCTCTCTGTTGGCATCCTGTACCTGAGTGTCGGCTCAGGTCCTGGCTACTCTGCATTCATTTATTTTTATTAGAAAGTCAGATTTATAGAGAGGAGGAAAGACAGGATAATCTTTTGTCCTCTGATTTACTCTTCAAGTGGCCAGTGTGACTGGAGATGAACCAATCCAAAGCCAGGAGCCAGGAGCTTCTTCTGGGTCTCCCACGCGGGTGCAGGGTCCCAAGGCTTTGGGCTGTCCTCGACTGCTTACCCAGGCCACAAGCAGGGAGCTGGATGGGAAGTGGGGCTGCCAGGACATGAACTGGCGTCCATATGGGATCCCGGTGTGTGCAAGGCAAGGGCTTTAGCCATTAGGCTACTGTGTCGGGCCCATAAATACGTATTTTTTAATAGATTTATTTATTTTTTTTTGGAAAGTCAGATGTACAGAGAGAAGGAGAGACAGAAAGGAAGATCTTCCCTCCAATGCTTCACTCCCCAAGTGACTACAACAGCCAGTGCTGTGCCAATCCGAAGCCAGGAGCTAGGAACTTCTTTCCGGGTCTCCCACCTGCGTGCAGTTTCCCAATGCTTTGGGCCATCCTATGCCGGAGTCCAGCTCCAGCTGAGTTCAGAACTCGCGAAGCGTGCGTGCATGAGGCGCAAAGAGGAAAGAAAGACGGACCACTAGGATTTCATGATCATAATGGACAATGAACAAAAGCTGTCCACTTTATTTATACAAAATCAGCCAAACTCTGGCTCAGACTTTTTACGTCATGGTCAAGTGGGTGTTTCTAAAGACAACTCTGCCATTTGTTTCACCTAAAAACAATAGAAGTTCCTGCTACAATTCTTATCCTACAACTCAATGTTGTATCACAAAGAAAAGGGGAACCTAAAGAATGAGGAAAGAATGAAAGCCTAAATACAGGTCCCTTGATTAGCATAAGGTCAATGGGGACAGCCAAGACAGTAGGAAAAATAGAAGGCCCTTTTGCAAGACATTATTATTGACATTAGCCTCCAAGCTCACATAGAGTAAAAGGCCAGCCCCACAGTAGCAAACAATGCCTGGATGGATTAGAATTCTTCCGCAGGGTGGTCCGGTGTCCATGCAAAAGCAGGTGGAGCTGCATTCAGGTGGTTGTAGAGACGTCCGCTGGCCCTGCCAAACAGCGGGAAGTTCCCTGCGGCCCTGCCTGCAATGGAACAATGCTCTTCACACCTTCGTGTCCCCCACATCCACTGCACGGCACCAACAGTCCTAGACTGCTTTTTGCAGGCCACAAGCAGGGAGCTGGATGGGAAGTGCTGTTGGGATTAGAACCGGCGCCCACATGGAATCCCAGCACGTTCAAGGCATCTGGGAGAAGCTCTTGGCTTTGGATTGCCGTTGTGGCCATTTGGGGAGTGAACCAGTGGACAGAGGATCTTTCTGTCTCTCTTTTGTGCTTTTGTGTGGATCTATCTTTCCAATGAAAATCAATATTAAGTAAAAAAAAAAAAAAAAGCTAAATATGTTACCCCGGAAACTGCACACATGTTTACCCCGGAGCACTGGGGACTTGTGGTCACACACAGACCTTCACGTACCTTCCCGTGGCAGCTCCATCCATGGCAGTCCAAAGTCAGGCAGAACCTAGACGTCCGGCACCTGCCGAGTGAGCGTAGCCACACGCTGGGCTGTGTTCAGTAGGAGCAGGAAGGTATTGAGGTACACAGTCCTCCCTGGACAGAACACCAAATAACTAAGCTGAATGAAAGAGACAGTCAATCCATGTGTGGATTTAAGGACATTCTTAAAGTAACAAAGCATAGAAACACAGACCACCACAGCGATCCCCAGGGGCTAAGAGCCATGTGGAGAGTTTTCTCCAGGTGGTAGAGTACAATGCACCCAAGGGCCTTAGTTCCAGCACTTACTAAAACTAAGTTTGAAAAGATACAAAATTGAAAAATCTTCCTCCTACACCTGTCTCTTGGGTCTCACTTCCTTTTCCAGAACAACTAAGTTTATTTCCTTATGTTAATTGCAAAAATTATTTTTCCTTTTTTTTTAAAGATTTATTTTTATTGCAAAGTCAGATTTACAGAGAGAAGCAAAAACAGAGAGAAAGATCTTCCATCCACTGGTTCACCCCCCCCCAAATGGCTACAATGGTCAAAACCAAGAGCCAGGAGCCTCATCTGGGTCTCCCACATGAGTACTGAAGCCCAAGGACTTGGGCTACCCCCTGCTGTTTTCCCAGGCACATCAACAGGGAGCTGGATCAAAGGTAAAGCAGCCAAGACTTGAATGGTGCCCATATGGGATGTGGGCGATGCAGGCAAAGACAGCTTGCTACTCTATGGGCACTGACATATAATATAATATAATATAATATAATATAATATAATATAATATAATATAATATAATATAATATAATATAATATAATATTTTTCTTTAATTTGAAAACCAGAGGCAAAGAGCTCTCTCATCTGCTGGTTCACTCCCCAAATGGCCGCGATAGCCAGGGCTGAGCCAGGCAGAAGTCAGAAGCCAGGACCTCGATCCAGGTCATCCATGAAGTGACAGGGACTCAGCTACTGTCCACGTCAGCTGTTGCTTCCCAAGTGTGCATCAGTTGGAAGCTGGAATTGGAAGAGGAGCTGGGACTTGGAAACCAGGCATTCCCTTATGGGAGCAGGCTTCACCACTAACCAAACACCCATCCCTCTGTAGCAAATATTTTTGATCCACATTTGGTTGAGTCCATGGATCTGCAGCTTGAACATGTAAGGAGCCAACCACATACTTAAGTGTGCCTTGTGTGTGCACATGTGGCTGTGCGTGGGTGAATAATTTCCTACCTCCTTTATAATGAATAGTATCCTGTTCAGTGTCTTGCTTCATTCCGGTAGAGGTGTTTCTGAGATGTGGTTCAGACCCCTACACAAAGAGCTTGTACATTTTTCTCGTGTGACTGCCTCGCCACTGCCCCTTGGGTGAACTTTAACTGATGCAACTTGGCCTTCTCCGTGGACATTTGGCATTCTACCTTCGTCATTCTGATAGGACACTTTATCAATTGATTTCCATCCTTACCAGTAATGTGGGTGAGTGATTCAGCTCCCAGCTCTCTGTTATCATCAACATGAGCAGAACAGCATGTCTGTGCAAGTCCCTGGTGACATGAGCATCAGGCTTGGGCTTGGAGACACTGGGGCTCTCTAAACAAGCCTGTGATGTCACTATCTTGGATGAGTGACCCTCACTGTCCCCACTGGGTACGAGCATGTGATGTTAGTGTGGGAATCCATGATTAGGAACACAGGGTTGCAGATTCTGCATGAAATGATCAACTCAGTTCAGAAGAGTCCTGCACTCTGTCCCTGCTGGGATGTCTCCAACTCCTCCACGGGGCCTGTCTTCCCAGGTAAGTCTCCTTTGAGTGATCGCGTGGAGTCCAAGAAAAACTTGTGGGACCAAGGATCCTTTCCGCTGGTCATCAAGGACCTGAAGATGGAAGACTCCGGGATTTATATCTGTGAAGTAGACGGCAAGAAATTCGAAGTGGAGCTACTGGTATTCAAATGTGAGTAGGGCTTGGCCCGGGGTGCAGCTCCCTTGGTCCAGCGCACCCATCTGCACCTGTTCCCACCTTGCACCCAAACTGGGGCCCAAGCTCATGATACCTCAGCAGCCGCAAGTGGACAGGACAGGTCACCAAGTCACCAAACTTTGAGTCAGACAGGAAAGGGTGAAGAGGAACAGAGAGAGAAGCAAGAGAAAAAGCAGAGATTCTGGGGAGATTGAAGGGGAAGAGGAGAGAACTCTGCCTGGAGTGGGGATGTGGAGCTAGGAGATCAGATATGCTGAGAAAGGCTGGTGAGAGACACTCCTTACTCCCTTTCTCTTTTTACTTTCTCCTTGGGATTGGGTGTGTGTGACACAGAGGACCTGTTCCTTCCACAGTGACCGCCCAACCAGACACCCGCCTGCTCCAGGGGCAGTCACTGACCCTGACCTTGGAGGGCCGCTTTGACGAGAGTTCCTCTGTGCAATGGAAGAGCCCAAGGAGTAAAGTTACAAAAGGCAGCCAGATTTTTTCCGTGCCCCAGGTGGGGGTCCAGGACAGTGGCACCTGGACCTGCATCTTCTCCCAGGACAAGAAGATACTGGAGCTCGACATAAAAATCTTGGTGTTGGGTAAGAAGTGCGTCTCTCCCTGGCAACCCCTCCTGATACACCAGCCCTCCTCTCTACCCCCAGTTCTCAGGCTGTGCACCCCGGGAGTAGGGGCTACAGCCAGGTACCCGGACTGGTGAGGTAGTTGTGGTCCAGAGCTGTCCCAAAAACCATCCTGGACACTCGTCCTCTGTGTGCTGACAGCCACTGCTCCAGGGCCAATAGACAAAGAAAGGAGTGGGCTATGTAAGGATGTGAGTCCACACAGAGCTCCCCTGGCCCCAAAAGAGGAGGCTCAAGCGCTGTTCTTCTCTGTATGGCCTCATCTCCCCACACCTATCCCATGCACTGCTTCAGCGACACCAACACCAACAAGTCAGCCATTATGAAACAGGACTTGGTACCTCCACAGCCCTGAACTATCCCCTACCTCAACCCCACCTGCAGTGCTTCTGCAACCAAGAGGCAGTGTGGTGGGGCTGGTTCAGTGTGTGAGCTCTGACTTTGCAACCTGGAGCAGGTTCCTGAAGCGCTCTGTGCTTTGGTGTCTGCACCTGTTAATGCTAACTGGGACAGAGCACAGTGAGAATTCATAAACAGGACATGCTTAAAACTGCACCTGGCTATGTGGTAAACCCCACTGGAGGATTCATTCTTGTTCTGTGCAGGGAGAGCCCCCCTGCCCCCTGTCCCCCAGTGCCTGGGATGGTTCACGAAGGCTTGCATGGGGGCAGAGGGAAGGCTGCTGCGGCAGTGGATGCTTACTGGGGTGCAGAGAGGAAGACCAAAGTGCCTGAAATGACAGCGATGGTGATGAATGCCCTTGTCCAACTTCCTCCTCTTCGCTGTCCCTGCCATGCACTTACGCCACCCTCTACCCCTCGTCTTCCTGTATCCCTCTCCTTACCCAGGGTCTCTCCCTCCCCGCCTCTAGGATTCCAAGAGGCCTTGACCTCAGTCTACAAGGCCGAGGGCGAGCAGGTGGAGTTCTCCTTCCCCCTCAACTTTGACAACGAAGACCTGAGAGGACAGCTCATGTGGCAGGCAGAGGGGGCCTCCTCCACCCAGTCCTGGGTTGCCTTCTCCTTGAAGGACAAGAAGGTGTCCGTGCAGGAGGTGCTCCCGGACCTCAAGTTGCAGATGCACAAGGAGCTCCCGCTGCGTCTCTCCCTGCCCAACATCTCGCCTCACTCTGCTGGTTCTGGAACCTTGAGCTTAACTCTTGCTAATGGAAAGTTGCAGCAGCAAGTGAACCTGGTGGTGATGAGAAGTAAGGAGCCAGGCCTGGGGGGCAGGACAGGGGCAGGACAGGGGCGGGACAGGGGCGGGACAGGGGCAGGACAGGGGTGGGACAGGGGCAGGACAGGGGGAGTGGCCCAGCCCAGAAAGAGGATGCCTAAGCACGCTCCAGGTTAAGGGAACTTGAACTCCCTGGGGCTGGCTTTGAACTTGGGATGGAACCCGCATAACCCTCTTCTCAACATGCCTGAGCTGACTCCACTGGGAATCCTCACGAGGCTTGGGTTCTAGGTTTAGCCTCTGCCCAATCTTCTGTCACCCTGGCTAAGCTGACATCCCACCTGATTGACAAGGATGACAGAACGTGCTGTTTGTCTGGGAGTGGGTGAGGCAGAGTGCCACAGAGCTTGGCATTTCCGTGTCTCCTGTCATCTGAACTACGCCACAAATAACAATATGGCCAGCACTTGCTGCTTGCTGCACAGCGGGCTGCATGCAGACACCGTGGGACCCTGCATTGATTTATCTTCTGGGGTTGAGGCTGCAAAGTCACTGCCTAAGGAGCATGTGTCTGGTAAGCAGTGGAATTGCAGTCCAAGTCCAAGTCCATTGGTCCCCCAAGGCTGTGTCTTTCTTCTCTTAGGCCTGTGTGAAGATGAGGTCTGTGAGGCTGTAACCACTTCTGTAAAGCATCACTTTGATGGTTTCATAGAACTTGAGGGTGCAGGGACCCCATCAGGCCGGGCCACCTGTCTCAGCCTCTCATTTGTCTGCAGTGATTCATGTAAACAACAACTTGACCTGCAAGGTGTTGGGACCCACTGCTCCCAAGACAAAGCTGAGCTTGAAGCTGCAGGGCTTGGAAACGACGGTCTCCACGCAGGAGAAGACGGTGCAGGTGCCAAACCCGAAGGTGGGGACATGGCAATGTGTGCTGTTCAGCGGGGACCAGGTGCTGCTGGAGTCTAAGACCAACGGTGAGCATCCAGATGCCATGGCCCATGTCTGGGACCCTGCCAGCTGGGTGGGAGACCACACAGAGCCCAGGTGAAGGGCCTGCAGGTGATAAAGTGAGGTAAGACATGGTGCTGGGCTCCAGGTACCACCTGCAATAAGCCTACAAGTTCTCATCTCCCTAAGGCTCACAGCTTAGGAAGGGGGCTCACATGGTCCAAATCCCCCTCGGTGGCTTCCTTCTAAACCCAGACCTTCCTCCCTGCCCCCTCTCTTAGTTCTCAGCCCTGAGAACCCTGAAGTCTCCCCACCTCTACCCCAGCCTCACAGAGGCAGCCATATCCTGCAGCGCTCCTAGTAGGCGGCAGTGCATCTTACTACCTCCCCCTCTCTGCTTTCTTCCAGTTGAGCCCAAGAGGCTGGACCAGCAGCAGCCCATGCTCCTGGCTGGTGTGCTGGGGGGCACCACAGGCTTCGTGCTCTTCACTGGGCTCTGTATCTACTGCTGTGTCAAGTGCCGCCACCGACGGGTGAGTGAGCAGCCACGAATCCATGCTGCTGGTCCCAGCACCACCACCACCACTTGGGGCCTTCCTACACTTGCCACCTGCTCCTGGCCTGACTCCCTCTGGCATCCCTTCCCGAGATCCCCACACTCCAGACCAAGTCCCACATGGAGGCAGAGATGGGAAGGAATACAGAGTTCATGTCGAGAATGACAGGGCTCAGCCACAGCTTCTCCTCTCCTGGCTCCCCCCATTGGCCCCTTCAAGGGGCATCTCCCTTCTGGAAGCCTGGGACCCTCACAACTCCCCTCCTTTCCCTGGACAGCACCAGGCACAGCGGATGTCTCAGATCAAGAAGCTGCTCAGTGAGAAGAAGACCTGCCAGTGTCCCCAGTGAGTGCCTGGGAAGAGGGGAAGCGTGGGAGGAAAAGGTGGATGGCAGGGTGGAGGAAAGGTACAGAAGGAAGCAGGAGGGAAGCAGGGGAGGCGGCAGAGTGTGCAGGGGTGAGCAGGGAAGGGGCAGCAGGCCTGGGGTACCCTGAATCAGTGCTGCAACTGTGCCCCAGAAGAAAAGAATGGGTCCAGGAGCCCTGGACCTGCCTTGCTCCCTTTTTCCTTCATTCCTCCAGCCGGCGGCTGCAGAAGACGGACAGTCTCCTGTGAGGTGCCAGTCGCCTGCAGCCTCCCAGCTGTCTGCCCTGGAATCCTGTGTCTCCTCTTCCGGGGGCCTAAGGACCAGAAGAATGTAGCAAATCCCAGCCCTGCCACTGCTGCCTCTGCAGGCTTCCTGCTCCCTCCTAACAAGGACCTAAGTGTCCCCCCACACACGTGCCCAGCCCCTGGGGCAGCCGCACCCCTTGCAGCAGGTGTAGCCCCCACTCTGCACTTTCAGGAGACTTCCTCACGCCACCTTCCTGGCTGTACTCGCCCTCTTCCCTGCCCCACTTTCTTCTGGGTTTAAGCCCTGGCTCTGGTTATCTCTCTTCTTCCCCTCCTCCCCCATCCACCTGTATCAGCCCAGCTCTCCCTGGGTATCCCAAAGCATGGGAATTCATCTCCCAAGGGCTTGCCTGAGAACCCTCCTACCACTACCACCACCACCAAGCCAGCCTAGGATGGAGCCATGCTGCCAGTGTCTGCTGAACTACTAAGTCACCTTCTGGCCCTTGCCCCAGACGGCTTTTCACACGCATACCCATACACACAGCCTGCCCCAGCTGCTTTGAGAAGGCAGGGAGGAATACTGCTCAGCTAGCTGAGGCTGCCCACAGGTTCCCAGTGGGTCTCCTTGGGTCCCCAGGCACACCTGTCTACCCACAGAAAGGGCCAGAACAGGCGGCCCATCTCTCTCCCTAGGTCCCTGTTCCATCACCTGTGGATCTCCTAAGGAGAGCGCTGACCCCCCATCCCTGGGGGACAGAAAGCCCCCCGGGGGGGGTCACTCACTTTGTATATGTCTCAGAAAGTGGAGAGGGGCCAGCCTGACATGAGCCTGTGAGTGCCCCCACCAGGGACAGTGTGTTGGGGCTGTGATGCCCATGCCTCCTGCACATGGCCCAAGAGTTCCCCATGTTCCACCTCCCAGGGTCCCACAGTCTCTGCCTTTTTCTCTTCTTTCTTCACCACCTTCCTCAATCCTCAACCCTCCCCATCCCCTTGCGTTCATTCTATCCAAGCGTGCCTCTTCCAGAAAGACTACTCAACTGCCTCCAGGGTTTCCCATTCCTGCCCAGTGCCTACCTCTGCATCCTAAAGCTAACAGAAAAATACAATAAACTTACTGTAAAGAGGATGGCTGTGCGTGCATGTGTGTGTGTGTGTGTGTGTGTGTGTGTGTGTGAAAGAGAGAGACAGAGAGAGAGCGCGCACACAGGTGGATGGTTCTTGGATCAGGAACCTTCTGACCTTTGGAGTAGGTGCCAGAAGGGAGGTTGCCAACCTTGCCCTGAGGAAGGAAGGAGCAGAAGCTCTCATGGAGAAGGAAACATCCTCTGGAGGCCGCGGTGAACCTGAGGCTGGCACTGGTTAGCGACAGTCTCACGTGGGGGCCTAGGGGTTGTGCCAGCCTGGTGTTCCCAAGCGGTTGTGTGGCCCCCAGCGATGTATATGTGCCTGAGTGGAGGAGCTGTAATGGATGGGTGCCTCATGAGCGCCCACATTCTTTCGGGCTTCAAGCATACCCACCCCCCATTCCGCAAGCAGCCCCATCTAGCATGGCAAGCCCCTTGGGTCCCCAGGCGCCTCCAACACCTGCTCCCCTGAGCCAACACACGGATGCCCACAGTGACACACCATGATACACGCTTCCTCCTCGCCCGAAAAGCTAGCTCCCTGGTCCTCAACAACACCAGCTGCCTCCTTGGAGTTCGTGCACGCGTGCAAAGGACAGGGGATAGGTTGGGGGTAGGAGGCCAGCCACCTCACCAAGGAAGCCCGCTGCCTGCCCTCCCCCGCGCCCCCTCCCCGCTCCGCGCCTTCCTTGCCCTTCCCCCGCCAAGTCCAGTTTCCCCGCCCTACACTCGCCGCCCCCTCCCCCTTCCCTTCTCTATAGCTGCCCTTCTGTTCCCCGAACCCGGGATTGGGTCAGTGACCCCAGAAGAGGAGCCCTAGGAAGTCCGAGAGAGTCGGGGGTAGAGGGAGCCCCTTCGGAGACCTGGACTCCAGGGAGGAGCAAGGAGGCCCAGAGGGAGGGAGGAGGGAAGGGGGAGGAGGGAAGGGAGGGGAGGCGGCAGAGGAGGAGGTTGCGGGCGAGCCAGAGCTGACGGGCGGCGGGAGCCCGGGCTCCGCGCCGCGCCGCGCGGGGAGTGCGTCTCCGAGGCGGAGCGGGGCGCAGCCGGAGGTAAGACGACCCCTGCCCCGGGCCCGCGGGCGCCTCCCCTCTTCCCTCAGCGGCTGCTCTCCCCTTGGGCCGGCCCCTCCTCCTTAGCCACCTGCTGTTGCTGCCTCCAGAAGCCAGTGGGTGCCCGGAGGGAGGAGCTGCCTGACCTTACCCCCTGGCAAGAAGGGCGAGGGACCCCTGCCGACCTGGGCGCGCGCTCTCCGGGTCCTTCGCTGCCTCCCGATTTTGCCCGCTCTCCGTCCTTCACCTCCTTCTCCCTGCCCTTCAAAGCCTGCCAGCCTTCCTCACTCCCTCTGACTCCCCATCGCTTTCTTCCCGAGCCCACCAGCTGGGCTGGATGGAGCCGGGTGGGAAGGGGTCCAGGAATGTGGGGAGGGGAAGGGAAAAGAGGGGAGGGGGCCTGCTCCTGACCAATTCCCCCCACCTCCCTCTGGCTGGCCATTGCCATGGCAACTAGAATGTACTGGGTTTGGAGGGAAGACAGAGGTGGGGGTGGACCCGAGCACCTAGCCCAGGGTCCAAGGTTCTCCCACCAGGAGCTGAGCTGTCCACTGCTGCACCCCACTTGCCCCAAACCGTTTGTGCCTCTTGCTGCAGCCCCAGCTTTTCTCCAGGTTTCACGGGATCTCCTGCTCAGCCCCTGTCACTAAAACCAGCCCCTCCTCCCATCAGAGGTAGACTGAGCCTGAGCCCCTGGAAGGAACGCAGGGCTTGCTGGGGGCCAGCATCTCTCGGAGCGAGTGGCTTTTTCCCTTCAGTGCCCCCCCTCCCACCCTCCTGCGTGGTTTTGTGCCCTTCCCCCTCCCAGGCTTCCTCCCCGCCGGCGGGGGAGGGGGCTTCGGAGCTTTCCCTGCTATTTTCAGCTACTACCACTTTGCCCCTCTTTTCTGCTCCAACTCTGCCTGCTCTCCCAATTCCCCCTCTTTCCATTTCTGGATCTTTCTGATGTCAGCGGTTTCCCCGCCTTTGGGTTCTCCAGCCCCCACCCTTCGGGTCCGGCCTCCCTCTCCCATTTTGCTCAGACCCCTTGGTGATCATCCAGGACTGGGGGCACGGGCTGGAGCTCCCAGATGGTTGCATGGGGACGCGGAGGGAGGGGGTTGGCAGAGCACAGAGGGGGCGACTGCAATGCCGCATCCTGGTTTACTGTGAATCCTCCTGACAAAGGCCCAAGTCTCCCAGGGGTTCACTGAAGGGAGATTGGGTTTAATGCAGGGAGATAGATGACCTGGGTGACCCTGGTTGGGGCAGGCTCTGGGGGTGGGGACGGGAACAGGGGTGTGTGCCATGAGATCAGTCATTCTTACAGTTTTAGAGGAAGCACCTGGAGAGTAGCCTAGGTTCTACCCTTGTCCACGCCCTCTTGTATCTCCTCTTTGCCTTGCAGCTTGTGCAAGTGGCCCCAAACCCCTGGGGGCAGCCAGAAGATCCCAGACTTGGCCAACTGCCTGAGGAACAGGAGGGCTGGAAGTCCCAGCATGGAGACCAGAACCCCCAAGTGGGCCTTGTAGGCGGGACAGTGGCCAGCTTGCCTCTCCCACCTGTTCCAGGGACACCTGGGGAGGCACCTTCCCGGTAGATATGGAGGCTGGGGACTGCCTCTGTTAAGGCTGCCTCTGCATCCCTGCCCTCAGCCGGGTCAGCTGTGCCATGCTGGGGCCAGCCTGCCTCACCCCAGAGCCAGGACTATTGTGGGCATCATGGGGGTGTGCATGAGTGGGGCTCCTGGGTGAGCCCTAGCCCCCACCCCCAGGAGCTGGAGGCGTGTGGGGGGCGTGGGGGCTGAGGCTAAGGATGGCTCCGGGTGCCTTGGCGGCAGAGGAGGCCTCCCTGCGTTCCAACGCGCTGTCCTGGCTGGCCTGTGGGCTCCTGGCCCTGCTGGCCAACGCCTGGATCATCCTCAGCATCTCGGCCAAGCAGCAGAAGCACAAGCCGCTGGAGCTGCTGCTCTGCTTCCTGGCGGGCACACATATCCTCATGGCTGCCGTGCCCCTCACCACCTTCGCTGTGGTGCAGCTGCGGCGCCAGGCGTCCTCCGATTACGACTGGAACGAGAGCATCTGCAAGGTCTTCGTGTCTACCTACTACACGCTGGCCCTGGCCACCTGCTTCACCGTCGCCTCCCTCTCCTACCACCGCATGTGGATGGTGCGCTGGCCCGTCAACTATCGCCTCAGCAATGCCAAGAAGCAGGCACTGCACGCCGTCATGGGCATCTGGATGGTCAGCTTCATCCTCTCCACGCTGCCCTCCATTGGCTGGCACAACAATGGCGAGCGCTACTATGCTCGCGGCTGCCAGTTCATCGTCTCCAAGATCGGCCTGGGCTTCGGCGTCTGCTTCAGTCTCCTTCTCCTTGGAGGCATCGTCATGGGGCTGGTCTGCGTGGCCATCACCTTCTACCAGACGCTGTGGGCTCGGCCCCGGAGGGCTCGGTTAGCCCGGAGAGCTGGGAGCCGCAGCGGGGCCAGGGCGGGGGGGCCGGGAGGCTTGGGGGGCCGGGCTGCTTTTGAGGTGCCAGCCATCGTGGTGGAGGATGCCCGAGGGAAGCGACGGTCCTCACTGGATGGCTCTGAGTCTGCCAAGACATCCCTGCAGGTCACCAACTTGGTCAGCGCCATCGTCTTCCTCTACGACTCGTTAACAGGGGTGCCCATCTTGGTGAGAAGGGGCACCCCCACCCCGCCTGCCATCCCCTACTCTCTAGGCTCCAGCTCCTCCCACACTTCTGTCATCCCTCTTCCTCCGGGCACCCCATGTCCACCTCCATGTGTGATCCCCCCTCCACTTCTCCTGTCCATCTCCTCGCCTCCCGGCACCACCGGCTACTCTTTGCTTTCCAAGGCTTCCTAAGCCTCCAGCGCCCACATTTGTCAGCCAGCTGTTGAGCCTCATTCTCCATCCCCCAGCTCCCACTGGAGTCCACACGCTGAGAACTGCTGAGTGGAAACCTCATGCAGCTCACCCCACCACCCATCCAGTCCCTACCTTCTGTCCCTGGCTTGCTCCACTACCCTGAGTCCCTCTGGCCCTGGGGCTTGGCCTTCAGCCTTCTTCCCCATTTTCCTTTGAGTCCATCCCCTATGTTTCTGCCTCTGTCCCCAATGCAGGGCCAAGCATCCCTTTGTGACCTGCTGCCCACCAGGTGCCTGGTACGGGGTGCGGGGGGGGTGTACTGGGGCAGGGGATGCCCAAAGGGATCAGAAGAATCAGGTGGCCGCCTAGATTCTTGGCCCTGACTCACATTGCCCCCATGTTCCCGGCAGGTGGTAAGTTTCTTCTCACTCAAGTCAGACTCGGCCCCTCCGTGGATGGTGCTGGCGGTGCTGTGGTGTTCCATGGCGCAGACACTGCTGTTGCCGTCTTTCATCTGGTCCTGCGAACGCTACCGTGCCGACGTGCGCACCGTGTGGGAGCAGTGTGTGGCCATCATGTCTGAGGAGGACGGCGATGAGGGTCAGCCGAGGGCCTGGGCTTTTGCTTCCCTGGACACCTGCCTTCTCCCTTATCCATCCTGCCTCTGTAAGGATGGGCTGTCCTGGCGTGCCCCCTGCTGGACAAAGCCCTGCACGGTCCCTGGGCTCCCCTTTCTCTAACCAGGCTCCTGGCTTCTGCACCCCAGGGGTTCTGCCTAGAAGGCCACACCATCCAGCTCACCCTTCCTCCCCACCCCAACTGCATTAGCTGGACACTGTATAATTGAGCTGCGGCAAAGACTGATGTGGCAATAAGGGGAAGCTAAGCTTCCTGCCAGAGCCCTTCAGCCAAAGGGACCATTGAAGGGGGAGGGCAGGCAGTTACAGCGATAAGCATGTGTGGATGCTGGAAGCACCAGAGACTGGAGTCCAATGGGAAACAAAGGTTGTCCAAGGTCCCTCCTCCTTGTACCCACTCTGCTCCTGTTCTCCCCTAGATGGGGGCTGTGATGACTATGCTGATGGCCGCCTTTGCAAAGTTCGCTTCGAGGCTAATGGGGCCACAGGAGCAGGGGGCCGGGATCCCACCCAGGTGAAGCTGCTGCCTGGAAGACACATGCTCTTTCCCCCTCTCGAGAGAGTCCATTATTTACAGGTAGGGCCTGGGGATGGGCACTTCCTCCAGTTATCAGCCCCCAGGCGCTAGTGGTGCTGCAAATGTTTGGGAGCCCTCTAAGACATGGCCGGGAGAGAGATGAACATTTTGCAGAGTCACTGCCTCCACCTGTCCCTGGATCACCTCCTGGTGTTCCCTGCCCCTCCTCCTAGGTCCCTCTGTCTCGACGTCTGTCCCACGATGAAACCAACATCTTCTCCACTCCTCGGGCACCAGGCTCCTACCTTCACAAGTGGTCATCCTCCGATGACATCCGGGTCCTTCCAGCACAGAGCCGGGCCCTTGGAGGCCCTCCTGAGTACCTGGAACAGAGACACCGGCTGGAGAATGAGGAGGATGAGGACGAAGAAGAGGCTGAAGGTGGAGGGCTGGCCAGCCTTCGCCAGTTCTTGGAGAGTGGAGTTCTAGGGGGGCCTGGTGGGGGACCCCCGCGGGGACCTGGCTTCTTCCGGGAGGAGATCACCACATTTATTGACGAGACGCCTCTGCCTTCTCCAACAGCCTCTCCGGGCCCTTCTCCACGCAGGCCCCGGCCTCTGGGCCCCTCACCCCGCCGGCTGTCTCTGGGCTCTCCAGAGAGCCGGGAGGTGGGACTTCCGCTGGGGTTTGGTGGCGGCAGGCGCTGTTCCCTGACGGGAGGGGAGGGCACCATAAGGGTCTGGGGAGGCTCTTGGGGTCCGGGCAACCCTGTCTTCTCCCAGCTGACTCTGTGAGCCCACTTGGGCACTGCTGGGCTCAGTGGACGGGTCCTGGGTCGGTAACTCCTTGCAGTGGGCCCGGGTGTCCCCAAGCCAGACTCTGGGGAGCTGGGACTCGGAACCAGTGGGGCACAGTCAAGCCCTGCTCCAACTCCCATCCCAGCGACAGGATGCCCTGCTCTCCCTCCATCACCTCTAGAAAAATTATTAAAATCTGACGTGTTGCCATGGAGAGGCTGGTGTGCTGTATACTGGGGGGACACAGGATCTGGACAGAGGCCTGGGGCATGGAGTGGCTCATTTGTAGGCAAACCTTCACACACAGTGCAGGCATCCCTGGCCTGGGGGGGAAGGGAGAGGGGACACACTAGGATGTGGCCTTTAGGGCCTGAAGGGGCTTGGTCACAGTGCTGGAGGTGATGTTAGGCATCTCCATCCCCTATCCTCCCCCCCTTCCCCTTGCACCACATCCAGCTAGGAACCCACTTTCTGGCAATAAAGGTCTTGGACTGTGTGGGTACCTGTGGTCCAGGACCCCTGACCTCTGTGCAGCACCCCAAGGCTCTTTGTCCAGAGGCTGTGGGGGCGGATGCCTGGAGGAGGGGAGAGGATTCCCCCCCCCCCCCCCCCCCCCAGCTCCCGCCGCACCCTAGCCTCCATCCGGGTTCATCTGCTTTTCCCCTAACACCCCCGGAGAGTCCCACCCGGCCCTCCAGACTCCCTGACTTTTCTGTTGGCGTGGCCTTGATCCGGGGTAGGAGGGGGGCCCTCAGCCCTGCCCTTGCGCATTCCTTCTCTCCTCCGCTCCCTCCTCCTTCTCTCCATTCCACTCCCTTTCTTCCCTCCTCCTCCCCCCCCTCCGCTCCCTCCTTCTCCAGGCTCCACAGTTCCCCTCAGTAGCGGCCGGCCTCTCGGGCACCATGCTTCGGCTCCTGCGGTTGCTGCTCCTGCTGCTGCTGCCTCCCCCGGGGTCCCCCGAACCCCTCGGCCTGGCTCCGCTGTCCCCTGGGGGGCCCCCTCAGGCCCCGGACTTGCTCTACGCGGATGGGCTGCGCGCCTACACCGAAGGGGCTTGGGCGCAGGCCGTGGCACTGTTGCGAGAGGCGCTGCGGAGCCAGGCGGCGCTGGGCCGCGCGCGGCGGGACTGCGGCGCGAGCTGCGCGGCCGAGCCGGGCGCCGCGTTGCCCCCTGCGCCGGGGCCGGACGCTCCACAGGGCTCGTGGGAGCCACAGCTGCTCCGCGCCGCGCTCCGCCGAGCCGAATGCCTGACCCAGTGCGCGGCGCGGAGGCTGGGCCCGGGTGGCGCGGCGCGGCTCCGCGTGGGGAGCGCGCTGCGTGATGCTTTCCGCCGCCGGGAGCCCTACAACTACCTGCAGAGGGCCTACTACCAGGTGCGGGCGCCGCCCGGTCCGGCCCCTAGCTGCTTGCAGTCCTGGGAGAGGGCAGCGAGCCGGGCACCTAGGATGGGGGCTGCGGCCTTGGGGACGCGGTGGGCTACTGGCGGGAGCTCAAGAGGCAGTAGAGTGAGGACCCAGGGAGCGGCGTGCGCCCCGCTTCCTGGACCTGGCTGAGCCCCCTGGGGATGAGCCCAACAGGCCACGGGGCGACTGGGGAGGGGGTGAGTTTGGGCCTTGGCTTGGGGCCGGCAGGGAGCTGGGACAGTCCACCGAGGTCAGACTGCTGGAGGACACGCAGACAGGGCACGCTGCACGGAGAGCTGCTGCCTACGTGGCTTGGGAGGCAGGGCATTGGGCACACACCTCAGCTCAGGGTCCTAGAGACCTATGGATTTGAGTGGTTTCTGGGGTATCCCCTCTGCCCTTGCCCCACCCTTTTCCCTTAGATAACCAGGGATTTGAGTGTTCCAGGGTTATGGTGGGGCGATGCTGGGTGAAGGTGGCACCTTGGTAGATGGACTTGCTTTCCAGGTGGGGGGAGTGCACGTGCCAGGAAGGGTGTGGGGATCTGACACCCCCATCTCAAGGTTCCAGCTCCCCCTCCTTCACTCTCTCCAGTTGAAGAAGCTAGACCTGGCAGCTGCGGCTGCACACACCTTCTTTGTGGCCAACCCCACTCACCTGCAGATGCGAGAGGACATGGCCAAGTACAGAAGGATGTCTGCGATTCGGCCTCAAAGCTTCCGAGACCTGGAGACGCTCCCACACTGGGTGAGCCCCTAAGCACCACTCCTGGTGTCCTCAGGCCTCTTGTTGGATTTGGGGTGCACATCTGCAGGAAGCTGGATTCATACTAGGTGATATGATGGCAGCTGTGGGCATCCCGCATGGCTGCTGGACAGGCAGGCTTTGGCGAGCTGGGTTCTGGGCTTCAGTGACCTTGATGGGGGCAGGGCAGGGGCAGCAGCTCTGAGATTCGGTTTCCTTTCTAACTGGCCCCTGAGATCTGAAGTTCTAGCATTCTGATTCTGACACTTACCCTGTTCCCCCACTACCCCCACCGAGCCATGAGCCAAAGTCCATGTCTGATGTCCCCATTACTACCTGCCAGCCTTCTTCAGCACCCCTGACCCCAGGGTCTCACCACTCTTACCCCCACCCCCCAGTCTGCCTATGACAGCGGCCTGGAGCTCCTGGGACGTCAGGAGGCCGAGCTGGCCCTGCCCCAGCTCGAGGAAGCCCTGCAGGAGAGCCTGGCCCAGATGGAGAGCTGCCGGGCTGGCTGCCAGGGAGCTGAGGAGCAGCAGGAGGCTGAAGAAGAGGAAGAGGAAGGCTCTGGGGACCAGGGAGGTCTCTATGAGGCCATCGCAGGTCAGCGGGACTGGCAGTGTGGGCGTATACCTGGCAGGGCTAGGGGATTGGGGCTGGAGTGGGGGAGCCCATGGAAGTTTGTGTGCCCATTGCAGGACACTGGATCCGCGTCCTGCAGTGCCGGCAGCGCTGTGTAGGGGACACAGCCACGCGTCCTGGTCGCAGCTTCCCCCTCCCCGACTTCCTTCCCAGCCAGCTAAGGCGGCTGCATGAGGCCTATGCCCAGGGTCAGTGTGGAAAGGCGGAGGGTCCCGGATGGATGTCTGGGGTGGAGACAGGAGTGACAGCATCCCAAGCCCTGTGTCCCCCTCTCTGTCCGTTCTCTGGCTCTCTAGCTTCCCTCTCAGGCCCCATGGGGACTGACACTACAGGAGGACTCTAGCTTTCTCTCCTCTGGTCTACTGTGAAAAGCTGCCGTCTCTACTGCTTCCACCCTCCTCTTTGCTCTCTAACGCTGTCTGCTCAGGTACGGCTGCAGTAGCCACTGGGCGGGGAAGGCACACTCTTGGAGGAGGCAGGTGGTTGGCTGGCCACACACAGGTCATCTCCTCCCAACCAGCCTCTGGCTACCTGCCGGTTCTCACTGTCCGCCCGTTCCCCATCACTGCCTTTCCAGTGGGGAATCTGTCCCAGGCTGTGGAAAACGTCCTGAGTGTCCTGCTCTTCTACCCAGAGGATGAGGCTGCCAAGAAAGCTCTGTCCCAGTACCAGGCAGAGCTGGGAGAGCCAAGACCGGACCTGGGCCCCAGAGAGGTAACCCTGAAACAAATACAGCTAGGGCCGGAACCTGGACCTCTGACCCCGATCGTTCCGGCCTCCTACTCAAATGGTCCCCATCTCCAGCATCTGACTTCCTCCTTGACTCCCAGCCCCTCCCCCAACCCCGCCCACCAGACTGAACCCTAGGGTCTAGCCCCCGGCCCAGCTCCCTTCCTTTAGCCTCACATTTGCCAGTGCCCAACTCTTGCTGGTACATGCCCATATGCACTGGCTACCTCAGCACACTCACATTCACACAGCACACTCACCCCTGTGCAAGCACAGGGCATACCTGGTTCACAGTCACACCACAGACATTGCCCACACTTACTCACACACTCCATCCCTGTTGCACAAAGACACTTGATCTCAAGCCGCGCCGGGGGAGAAGGTGGAACAGGTGACATCGGAGACCAAGGCCACAGGGCAGTCCGGAGGGCTGGCCCTTGCCCTGCTGAGTCTTCACTCAGCTGCTCTGTCCCCTTGGGCCACGATCTGCCCCGGGCCTACAGGACATCCAGCGCTTCGTTCTGCGGTCTCTGGGTGAGAAGAGGCAGCTCTACTATGCCATGGAGCACCTGGGACGCAGCTTCAGGGACCCTGTGAGTCACCTGCTGGTGCCCAGCCCCTTGGCGCTTGGTGGGAGGGAGACGACGCCTGGCCGTGTGTGTGTGTGTGTGTGTGTGTGTGTGTGTGTGTGTGTGTGTGTGTGTGGTCAGCAGCACTGCTGGCAGTAAAGGCACATATCTTTCCACAGACCTGGGGGTCTTGAAAAAAATCTATCATCCAGTTTTTTCCTTTTTGTTTTTGCTTGAAAGTCAAAGCGAGAGGGAGGGAGGGAGAGATGAAGAGATCTTCCATCCGCTAGATCACTCCGTGCATGTTGGGGATGGCCTGAGCTGAACCAGTCGGAAGTTTCTTCCAGGTCTTCCGCATGGACGCAGGGGCCTAAGGACCTGAGCCATCCTCCACTGCTCTCCCAGGCGCATTAGCAGGGAGCTGGTTCAGAAGTGGAGCAGCTGGGATTTGAACCAGTGCTCATATGGGATGCCCATACCACAGGCAAAAGCTTAAGTACTCCGCCACAGTGCTGGCTTCTGCTGGTGCAGTGCTGTTTGTTTCAGTCTCCCGCAATGTCCCAGGCTTTGTCCTCTCCTTCCCTTCTGAAGATTTAGTTATTTATATTGGAAAGGCAGATTCACAGAGAAGAGAGTAAGATCTTCCATCTATCGGTTCACTCCCAATATGGCCTTAGTGGCCAGAACTGAGCCGAGCCCATCCAAAGCCAGGAGCCAGCAGCTTCTTCCATGTCTCCCATGCGAGTGTAAGATCCCAAGGCTTTGGGCCATCCTTGACTGCTTTCCCAGGCTACAAGCAGGGTGCTGGAAGTGGAGCAGCCAGGACATGAACTGGTACCCATATGAGATGCCAGCGCTTGGAGGTGGAGGATTAGCCAGTTGAGCCATGGCCCGTCAGCTGCTAGCTCAGATCTGACCTGGCCTTGTGGCTGATGACTTTTTTCTTTGCTTCCGTAGGATGCCTGGACCCCAGAGGCTTTCATCCCTGAAGCCCTACGAGCCAAGATGAAGTAAGCTGGGGCCCCACAGTGGGAGGTGCATGGCCCGAGCTGGGAGCCTGGGTGCAGGCTGGCCGTGCAGCCACTGAGCATGTCTGTCACTCCTGAGAGAGGATAACGAGAAGAGGACCTGGGACCGTGAGCCCCCGCAGCCGAAGCCCGTGACCTACTGGAAGGGTAAGTTCCTGGGAGGGAAGAGGCAGAGCCTGGAGTGGGGTTGTGGCAGTCTGGCAAGGGCGGCTGGGGGGCTGCCGTCCACGATCCTCCAGCACCCACTCTGGCATCTCCCCGACCCCCACAGATGTCCTCCTCCTGGAGGGGGTGACCCTGACGCAGGACGCCAGGCAGCTGAATGGCTCGGAGCGGGCCGTGCTGGATGGGCTGCTCACGCCGGCGGAGTGCGGGGTGCTGCTACAGCTGGCCAAGGTGGGCAGAGCTGTCAGCAGGGTCAGTGGGATGGGCAGGGGCCCTCCACCACGCCCGCAGTCTCCACTGGGGGAGGACTGCAGGTGGACGCTGCCTCCCAGCTGTGCATAAGTGCCTCTGCTCTTAGTTCAGTAATTTACCATTTTGTATTTATTCAAGAGACCCAGAGAGATCGGCCCTCCTCTGGTTTCCCCCCACCACACCCACCCACTCACCCAAATGCCCACAGCAGCTGGGTTTGGGCTGGGCTGTTGCCAAGAGTCAGGAGCTCAGGACTCCCTTCCCCAAGGTACCAGCTGCTGCCTCGCAGGCTCCTGGAGCCAGGAGCCATGTGGGAATAGAACGCAGGCCCTGTGCCAGGAGACTCAGGCCAGTGTCTCAGCCCCCAGGCCAAAGAGCTGCACCTCGCCCCTTAAGTTAGCAGACATGGGGTCGGCGTGCTGGATGAGGGCATTTTGTTAGAAACGGAGAAAGTAAAAGCCAGACGCGGCGCCAGGGACGCACCTGCAAACAAGGCTCCTCAGGCAGCGGCAGGTTTGTTGCTGGTATGAGCCGCGACTCTGCAGATATGTGGGCTGCTTTCTGCCCAAATGGCTATAACATCCACAGCTGAGCTGCTCTTCAGCCAGGAACTTTTTCCAGGTCTCCGTGTGGGTGCAGGTGCCCAAGCACTTGGACCATCTTCTGCTGATTTCCCAGACACATAGCAGGGGGCTGGGTCAGAAGTGAAGCAGCCGAGCCTTGAACTGCTGCCTAGATTGGATGTTGATATCGCAGGTGGTAACTTTAACTGCTATGCTGTTGTGCTAGCCTCAAGCTTGTGATTACAAAGAATTGAAAGTATGGGGCCCAGCACAGTAGTCTAGTGGCTAAAGTCCTCACCTTGCGTGTACTGGGATCCCATATGGTCGCAGATTCTAATCCTGGCAGCCCCACTTCCCATCCAACTCCAAAAGCAGTCGAGGACGGCCCAAAGCCTTGGGAACCTACACTCACGTGGGAGACCCAGAAGAGGCTCTTGGCTCCTGGCTTCGGATCAGCTCAGCTCTGGCTGTTGCTGCCACTTGGGGAATGAATCAACGGATGGAAGATCTTTCTCTCTGTCTCTCCTCTCTGTATGCTGACTTTCCAATAAAAATAAATAAATCTTTAAAAAAGAAAAAAAAAGCATGTTAGAGGCCAGAATGGTGGCACAACTGGCTAATTCTCTGCTGGCAAGTGCCAGTATCACATATGGTTGCTGGTTCTAATCCCAGCTGTTCTACATTCCATCCAACTCCCTGTTTGTGGCCTGGGGAACCAGTGGAGGACAGCTCAGGGCCTTGGGACCCTGCATGAGCTTGGGAAACCTGGAAGAAGCATCTGGTTCCAGGCTCTGGATGGGCCCAGCTCTGGTCCTTGCAAAGAAAAAATAAATAAATAAACCCTTAAAGAAAGATGGGGCCAGCCAAAGCCAGGAGTCTACAGCTCCCTCTGGATCTCCCACTTGGGTATGGGGGTCCGAGGACTCAGGCATTTTCTGCTGCCTTCCCAGGTGAATTGGCAGGACGCTGGATTGGAAATGGAGCAGCTGGAGCTTGAACCACTGACATAGGTTGCCTACCTTGTAGGCAGGGATTTACCGTGCTATGCCATATTGGCCCTTAAGCCCAGTCTTCAAGAGGCAAACATGACCAAGAGGGCAGAAAGGCAGAATCAGGGCAAGAATAACAAGGAACATTCTGGCAAGTGCAGGGAGCACAGGTGTTAAGGCCCTGGGCCAGCTCCAACAGGTGTTACCTACGTGACCTCACCTCTTTTTTTTTTTTTTTGTATTGCAAAGTCAGCTATACAGAGAGGAGGAGAGACAAAGAGGAACATCTTCCTCCCAAGCAACCTCAATGGTCAAAGCTGAGCCGATCCAAAGCCAGGAGCTTGGAGCTTCATCTGGGTCTCCCATGTGGGTGCAGGGTCCCAAGGCTTTAGGCTGTCCTTGACTGCTTTCCCAGGCCACAAGCAGGGAGCTGGCCTCCAACAGGGACCCATGTGGGATGCTATACCCCAGCACGAACCCTTCCCTTGCATTACTTGTAACTTGGTCGGCAGGGTGCCTGATTCCTCCATCTGTAGTGGATGAGGTGGCTGTTTTCCCGTAAGGAAAACCAAGCTTCTGGAAGGAAGGGTGTTCCAGGGGAGGCCACTGTGTAATCAGGCAGCGTGCTGCGGACGGAAAGGCCTGACAGAACGCTGGAGACTGGCCGCTCCATCTGTTTTGAGCTCTCTGGGTAACATCAATTTTTAAAGGAAAAAAACAATAGCGAGTTTAAAGTGTGAGTTTATTTTCCTCCGTAGAGATGTTGACATTCGTGGTTGGTTTGTTCATAATACAGTGAGGGCTTGCTGCAGCCCACCGAGAGTGAGCCCTGCAGGATGAGCAGCCCTGGAAGGACCCCAGGGCAAGGCCGGGTCACTTTGGGGACTCACAGTCCCTCTAGTGGCGGTGTGTAGAATGCAAGAGGAGAGAAAGGAGCACTGCGGAGGGATTGAGGCGTGTGTCTGCCCAGAGAGCCTCGCTTCCAGGGATTGTACCCAAGGAACCATGTGTACAATATCAAAGAGAGAAATTAAGGATGAAGTTTACACGGAAGATGGCAAAAGGATGGAGTCACAGGGCCCCCCAGGCACCAAGCTCTCTTCTGTTCTGATTCTATTCATTCTGACGCAGGGCTTTGGCACTTGCTGTTCCACTGCCTGGAACATTTGCTCTCAGTCAGGTGGTTCTTTTACATGATCGGCATCCAGCCTGCCTGGCTGGGAGTCCCAGCTGCACTGCTGACCCCAGCTTCCTGCTGATGCACACCCCAGGGGGCAGCACATGATGGCTGGAGTCACTGGGTCCCCGCTGCCCACATGGGTGGCAGGTGCATCCTGGGCCATCCCCAGCGGCTGTAGCCAGTTAGGGAGCGGACTGTTGTGGGAGCTGGCTCTCTCTCTCCGCCTTTCCAATAAATAAAAGTAATTAGCTTGTAAAACTCTCATGATAGAAGAGTTTTTTCCCCTAAGATTTTGTTGTTGTTGTTGGAAAGTCAGATATACAGAGAGACAGAGAGGAAGATCCTCTGCAGCTGTTGACTCCCCAAGTGGCCACAGTGGCTGGAGCTGCGCCGATCCAAGGCCAAGAGCCAGGAGCTTCCTGTCTAAGAGGAAATGTTCCCGCACAGGTGCGGGGTCCCAAGGCCTTAGGCCATCCTCTGCTGCCTTCCCAGGCCACAGGCAGGGAGGCAGATCAGAAGTAGAACAGCTGGGACATGAACTGGCACCTGTATGGGATCCCAGTGGGAGCAAGGTGAGGATTTAGACACTAGGCTATCACACTGGGCCCAAGAGACGGTCTCTTATTCTCATTGTGTTCCCACAGCCTAGGAGAGTGGCATATAGCTATTGCACAATACAAGTGTGTTAAATGAATAAGAATACAGAAGTTGGGCCCGATGCGGTAGCCTAGTGACTAAAGTCCTCACCTTGTACGCACTGGGATCCCATATGGGTGCCAGTTCTAATCCCAGCAGCCCTGCTTTCCATCCACCTCCCTGCTTGTAGCCTGGGAAAGCAGTGAAGGACAGCTCAAAGCCTTGGGACTTTGTACCCACGTGGGAGACCCAGAAGAGGCTTCTGGCTCCTGGTTTTGGATCAGCTCAGCACCGGCCGTTGCGACCATTGGAGAGTGAATCATGGGACGGAAGATCTTGCTCTCTGTATATCTGACTTTGAAATCAATATAAATTAAAAAAAAATACAAAAGTTGGAAATGGCATTATGGCATATCAGGTTAAGCCACCATCTGCAGTGTTGGCGCTGCAAATGAGCTCTGGTTTGAGTCCTGGCTGCCCCACTCTAGTTAGCTCCCTGCTGAATACACCTGGGGAGACAGCAGAGGATGTCCCAAGTTCTTTGGTCCCTGCACTCACATGGGGAGCCCCAAAGGAGCGCCTGGCTCCTGGCTTCAGCCTGGGCCTAGCTCTGGCCATTGTGGCCATTTAGGAAGTGAATCAGTGGATGGAAGATCTGTGTGTGTGTGTGTGTGTGTGTGTGTGTGTGTGTGTGTAAAACTCTTCCTTTCAAATATATAAAAAAATAAATCACTGGGAGAAAAGGGAATAGGAAGATTGATGGGGAGCTGGCGGCCTGTTGGAGATGAGATCTGAGTGTGTCTGGGTCCTGGTACCTAAAAGAAGACTCCAAAAGTAGACAGAAGACCCTGTGTCTTGTGAATGATGCCGACAGGGAGACCTGCTGCTGATGAGGACACAGGGGACCCGCCGGTGATTAGGGTGGGCTGCGGGGACCAGGACCAAGGGGCACGTGGGGACCTGGAGCCTGCGGGTTCTCTGAGGCGCAGGTGCTGCCTCCCCACCATAGGCCAGCGGCCTGCAGGAGCTGGGCCTGACTCTGGGACTTCCTGCTAAGCGCCTGTCTCTAGAACGGTTCCTGAAATCTCGGCCCATGGATGATCAACCCTTCCTGCCTCGGTTACCAGCCCTGTCCCCTCTCCCCCAGCAGTCCTGCCCTGTCGATTCCAGGCCTGGGGGCAGTGGGAGGGCAGAAGGGAGCCTTGTGTATATGTGTGGGGGGGGGGGATCCCACAGTACAGCCCTTCCCTGTTTAGGATGCGGCTGGGGCCGGAGCCAGGTCTGGCTATGGAGGTCGACGCTCACCGCACACACCCCATGAGCGTTTTGAGGGGCTCACGGTGCTCAAGGCTGCACAGGTGAGAGGAGACGCCCTTGCCCTGGCTCGCAATGGAGAAAGGGGGCTCTTCTGTCGCCAGGGAGCTGCTAAGCAGGAAGGGGCCGTTTCAGCTGATGGACAGGGCTGGTTGCTGAGACGACGGGGCGGGCGGGCGCAGGAGCTGGGACCACCTTTCCCTGGCCTCCCTCCATTGCTGCCCCTCCTTTGATGCCCCTCCCCTGCAGCTGGCCCGCGCGGGGACTGTGGACAGCCAGGGCCCCAAGCTGCTCCTGGAGGTGAGCGAGCGCGTGCGCACCCTGACGCAGGCTTACTTTTCTCCCGAGCGGCCCCTGCATCTCTCCTTCACGCACCTGGTATGTCGGAGCGCCATCGAAGGTAACGACCCCACCTGGAGCTCCCCAAGCCCACGGGAGTCTCGGTCTACACCCGCAGAGACCGAGCTCCCCTGCCTCCGGGAGGGTCGCGTGGGGCAGACGAACCGCAGCGCAAGCCCTTGCCTCCTAGGCGAGCAGGAACAGCGCATGGATCTGAGTCACCCAGTACACGCAGACAACTGCTTCCTGGACCCCGATACCGGGGAGTGCTGGCGGGAGCCCCCCGCCTACACCTTTCGAGACTACAGGTGGGTGGGTGGCCTGGGTGACGGTGGTGGGACACAGAGGTCGGCTCGCTGCAGGCAGGGGTTCACGCCTCACACCCTCTCTCCCTCTGCAGTGGCGTGCTGTACCTCAACGATGATTTCCAGGGGGGTGACCTGTTCTTTACGGAGCCCAACGCCCTCACTGTCACGGTACGGTACGCAGTGGAGGATGGGCGGGCCACCGACAGGACCCAGCTGTGGAGTCAGGATTCAAAATAGAAGATGCCCAGAGGCAAATGCAGGGAAATGGCAGGGCACCTCTCCGCTCTTCTTCCAGCCCCTGCCTGCAGCCGCTGCCTGGCCTCTTAAGGAGGATGGGGAACACAGCCTGCCAGGGTCCCTCCCAAGCACCCTGGCGTGTCCTTTCCTGCCACCCAGGCTATGTTCTGTTTCTTAGGCCACCGAGGGGTAGGGTGGAGGTCATTGTAGATCCTTCCCCGGAAAGAAGATTGTATATGGATGGGGTCCAGTTCTAATCCCAGCAGCCCCGCTTCCCACCCAACTCCCTGCTCGTGGCCTGGAAAAGCAGTCAAGGATGGCCCAAAGCCTTGGGATCCTGCACCCGTGTGGGAGACATGGAAGAGGCTTCTGACTCCTGGCTTCGGATTTGCTCAGCTTTGACTGTTAAGGCCACTTGGGGAGTGAATCAACGGACAGAGGATCTTCATCTGTCTCTCCTGTCCATATATCTGCCTTTCCAATAAAAATAAAATAAATCTTTAAATCTACTGGTTCACTCCCCAAGTGGCCAGAGCTGAACTGATCCAGAGCCAGAAGCTTCTTTTGGGTCTCCCACACGGGTGTAGGGTCCCAAGGTCCTGGGCCATGCTCCATTGTTTTCCTAGGCCATAAGCAAGAAGCTGGAAGGAAAGTGGAGTAGCCAGTATACGAACCAACCCCCATATGCGATACTGGCACATACAAGGCAAAATCTTTAGCCACTAGGCTACTGCACAAGGCGCAGGAAGTGACTGCTCAGCCTCCCCTCCCCCTGTCCTCCCTACTCCTTCCATTCTGGCCCATTTGCAATTCAGACTTTCCTTGGTCCCAAATGCTGGGATGAAGGGGCTGGGCAGGAAAAATCGGGCGCCAGAAGCAGGAGGGCCACAGGAGACCCTCGAGGGAGGCCCCCGCTCCACTGGCCCAGCCCCTTGCCCAAGCCAGTCCCTGGACCAAGGTGGGCAGGTGAGCAGGCCCTTGTCCCCTTCCTGCTCTGGGGTGAGGCTCAAGCCAAGCTGAGCTTGCTGTTCTGCAGGCTCGGGTGCGTCCTCGCTGCGGCCGCCTTGTGGCTTTCAGCTCTGGAGGTGAGAATCCCCACGGCGTGTGGGCCGTGACACGGGGCCGGCGCTGTGCCCTCGCCCTGTGGCACACATGGGCACCAGAGCACAGGGAGCAGGTATGGAGCAGGTACTGGGGCCAGGAGAGCCCGGGGGTCGATGCAGGAAGGGAGTGGGCACACTCTCCTCTCTACCCATCCCCATCATGCAGGAATGGACAGAAGCCAAAGAGCTACTGCAGGAGCCAGAGGAGGAGGAAGACGAGGAAGACGAGGGGGAGGAGGAAGAAACGCCCAGCAGAGATGCTTCCCCAGAACCCCCAAGCCGCAGGCTTCAGCGAGTCCAAGACAAGACCGGGAAGCTGCCTCGGGTGCGGGAGGAGCTGTGAGTGGCTGGGCCAGCTCCTGGGGACACGGCCCGTGACTGGTGCAAGGCAAGCTTGGCATCAGCAGCTGTGAGAAGCTGCCATGGGACTTAATACGGGAACAGTGGGCTCTCTGTGGCCATGCTCCACCATCGTGGCAACCCAGGAGGGTTGACCAGCCCTGGACTCAGGATGCTGTGTAAGGAGCAGGCTAGACTCGGCAGGCACTGCTGCCTGGGGGCAGACAGAGCGACACGCCTGTGCCTCACTGAAGGGAAACGGCCGAGGCAGGAGGCGGAGGGCAGGACACTGCTCCCCACAACCTGTGCAATTAAGAACTTGAGGCTCCATCAGCCAAAGTCGGGTCAGTGACTGTGCAGGCTGCAGAGGGGGTGGCTGTGGCTGGCCTGGGAGGAGGCAGGTGTCCTGGGGACCTCCCAGAGGCGAGCCCTGCTAGAGCCTGTAATTTGTCAGGGAAATCTGTGCACCTGCTTCTCTCATGCAAATGGACCCCAAGCCCCTGACAGCTGCTCCTTGGGCCGGCAACTCTAAGTCTTGTTTTCGGTCTCTGAACTCACCTTGGACTTAGACTGCCTAAGGCGGGGGGTAAGGACACCCCCACTCAGCCTGTGTAATAAAGAATTTGAGGTTCCATTGACCAAGGCCGGCTGGTGTCTGTGCAGGCTGCAGTAGGAATGGCTGTGGTTGGCTTGTCCTCGCCGCCCCCTGGCCCTCCAGCAGTGTCGTGGGAGCAAGGAGTGGGCAAGGAGTGGGCCTGGCCCCGGTCTGGGAGCTGCCTCCCTCGGTAGCCTTTTCTCTGCCCACAGAAGCGGCAGGCTTAGCCTGGGTCTCCCCACCACCACCATCTACTTAGTCCAGACCCAGGGGCAGCTGGCGCAGGATTATCCAGCTCAGTCGCTTCTAATCTCAGCTCCTGCCTGCGCTCTCCCATGCTCACAGCCATCCTCCCTGACCCCCCACTTGAAATCATGGGGGTGACAGTGGGGCCACCCAACACCTTGGGTCCCGACTCCTGGTTGCTAAGTGAGCCCTGGCCAGCCAGGGCAGCACCCCCCGTGGGGGACACAGGCCTGCTCCTGTTCCTTTCCGTCCCTTCCTGAACTCCAATCCTTAATCCTCACAGCTTTACTCTAATCCCGCGGGGCCTGATGCTCTTATGTCTGCCTGCAGAGACAGGACCAGGAGAGCACCCCCTGCACCCCGCCCTCCGGGGGCCCCTTCTGAGGGACTGCTCCCCACTCCTGCCCTGCCACACTCCTGCCCCACCCCTGCTCTAGGCTGGGCCCAAGTCTGATGGCCACACCCCTCCCGCCCCGGCCTGGCCCCCACCCTGGCAGCTGATTTCATTTGCCTGACCGACAACCCTTCCCTTCCCTGTCAGTGTCCCCCCTCCCCGTCCCCCCCGCCCGCCTCAAGCAGGGCCAGGCCAGGCCAGCTCCTCTGGCAGCAGAGCTGGGGCAGATGAGAAGCAGCCGCAGCTGAGGGAGTGAGGAGGCACCTGGGAGCGGAGCTGGAAACCTGGGAGGCGGCCAGCCAGAGTCCAAGTAAGAGGGAGCTGGCAGGGCTCAGCTCCCTGGGGCTGAGGGTTGCAGCCCGGGCAGGGCTGGGGCTGGATGCACGGGGCTGCCACATGGAAGGCCTGGCTGCCGAGCCAGTGCGGGTAACCCCACTATCCCCTCACTTCTTAGGGGGGGCACCTAACCCCTAGGAAGCTGGTGGGGACTCCCCAACACCTGTGCTCATGTTCCTGGCAGGAGCTGGAGTGACCCCTCGACCTGGCAGCCATGGGGGAGATGGAACAGCTGAGACAGGAAGCAGAGCAGCTCAAGAAGCAGATTGCTGTAACCCAGAGCCCGCCCTGCCATGGGGACCCAGAACCGCACCTGCAGCAGGAGGGAGAGGAGCCTGGCAGGGGGGATGGGGGAGTAGCAGGGGGCTGGCTTAGAAGCAAACGTCAATCGCCTGAGACTCCCCCAAACCCCAGAACCTCAGTCTCTGATCTGGGGGAGACCCGTGCCCCCCAGTTACCTGCACCCTTCTCCCCACCCCGTTTCTGTCCCCTCCCCTGACATCTTCTCTTCCCACAGGATGCTAGGAAAGCCTGTGCTGACATTACCTTGGCAGAGGTGAGACCCCTGTGCCCCTCCGCCCCTCCCAGGGTGAAACATGAGGGGAGAGAAGGGAGGGGGAGCTTCCTGACCAGCCAGCTTAGCACCTGAGCTCTGGTACAGCGTGTCCTGGGAGCCAGGGCTGCCACTAATTAATTCATTCAATGAACGCCACCAACTGGGAGCGGCTCTGGGCCAGATGCAGAGGTAGAGGCTTCAGATGAGTTCTGTCCCCACTCAGCCTCACGGCTGTGAGCACCCACATTTCCTGTGTAGCTCACGGGGCCCTTGTGATCCTGTGGCTGGGCACCTCAGCTCTGGTGTGCACCTTGCTTCATGCTGGCAGTGGGCGATGGTCCTGACTCAGATCACTAGCCTGCTTTTTTTTTTTCTTGACACTATACAAGATGACCATGCTTTTTAGGTCAAGGGCATGGGAGATGGCGGTCAGTATGTTACCCAGGAGAATCAACACCCCAGGGCTAAGGTGCTCAAGTTCAGAATGTCATTGAGCTTTTATGGCGGCTCTGGGGACATGTTAGACCCAGAGAAGTTAAGCGGTTTATCCCATAAGTCAGAGCCATTAACGTCAGGTGTAGGCTGTTGAGTCTTGGTGGGGGCTGTGAGGGCTAGCCTTCGTGCAGGAGCTGAAGAGTTCAAGGTTTATCGACTGCGAATTTCAGGAAGGGCAGTGGTGTGTTAGAGGGGTGACCTGGGTATCCAGCAAAGGAGTTGGCCTGTTGTTAGAGGCTGTGCCGCTCTCCCTTCCTCCTGGGTTGGGGTTCAGCTGCCTCACCCTGGCAGTCTGAAGCTGATTGTGCAGGCTTACGTTTGGGTAGACACTTGTGTTGAACACTTAGTGACAAACCATGCCTCTGTCCCACACATTCACCTGAGCCACGCCAGGGCAGGGATGGGGTGGGACAGCGGGGCTGTCCTGGGGCTAGATGGGGAGTAGGAACTCCCATGGTCCCCCCACTGACTGTGCCAGATACCCTGATACCTGAGACTCCTTTCTCTGCAGCTCGTGTCTGGCCTGGAGGTGGTGGGACGAGTCCAGATGCGGACACGACGCACACTGAGGGGCCACCTGGCAAAGATCTATGCCATGCACTGGGCCACGGACTCCAAGTGAGGCTCCAGCAGGGCCCAGGGGATGAGGGTGGCAGAGGGAGGGACTGGCATGACCTAGGGTGCCTCTCCCCAGGCTGCTGGTAAGTGCCTCGCAGGACGGGAAGCTGATCGTGTGGGATACTTACACCACCAACAAGGTATGGGCCTGCTTCCACCCGCTCCCAACAGCAAGTCATCCTCTTGCTTCCCGCTCCCCACCCCACCCACACACACACCAGCAGCTCAGGCCTCGCCTCCTCCCAAACTCTCCACCCTGCAGGTGCACGCCATCCCGCTGCGCTCCTCCTGGGTCATGACCTGTGCCTATGCCCCGTCAGGGAACTTCGTGGCCTGTGGAGGGCTGGACAACATGTGCTCCATCTATAGTCTCAAATCCCGGGAGGGCAATGTCAAGGTCAGCCGTGAGCTCTCTGCTCACACAGGTGAGTGACAGGCCCCTCTTCCTGCGTTGGCTGGCTCAGCAGCTGGGGCGCCTGGCCTCTGACAGCCCCCGCCTCCCCCACCCAGGTTATCTCTCCTGCTGCCGCTTCTTGGATGACAACAACATCGTGACCAGCTCAGGGGACACCACGTGGTAAGTAAGGCCTGCATGCCATCCTGGGGGCTGGGCTCGAGAGGCCCTGGCTGCTCTCCTCCCAGCCCTGTGACGCTCCCTCCCTCCCTCCCGCAGTGCCTTGTGGGATATAGAGACCGGGCAACAGAAGACTGTATTTGTGGGCCACACGGGAGACTGTATGAGTCTGGCAGTGTCTCCCGACTTCAAACTCTTCATTTCGGGGGCCTGCGACGCCAGCGCCAAGCTCTGGGACGTGCGGGAGGGGACCTGCCGCCAGACTTTCACTGGTCATGAGTCCGACATCAATGCCATTTGCGTGAGCGCCCCTTCCTGCTCCAGAGTGGCTGCCGCCGCCTGGCACACACACTCAATCCCACCCACCCCCATCTCTCCTGGCCCTTGCAACTTTTCCCATGGGAATGATTTCACATTAGATTTTGCCTTACATCATGGCTAGCAGAATACCCCTGCCCCCAGCGCCCAGATTCATTGGGAACATTGTGACAGCTTTGAGTGTTCTGTGTGGAGGGAGACACACCCCCCCAGATGTAGATATACTTTGTTACATTGTTTCTGGGTTGTTGGACAGTGGGTTCAGATACCTTGCCTCTTTATAAAAAAATGTTTTTAGAGAGAGAGATTTGTTTGTTTTTATTTGAAAAGCAGAATTTGCAGAAAGAGGAGAGATAGAGGTCTTTCATCTGCTGGTTCACTTCCCAAGTGGCTGCAATGACCAGAGCTGAGCAGATCCGAAGCCAGGAGCCAGGAGCTTCCTTCTGTCCTCCCACACTGGTACAGGGTCCCAAGGCTTTGAGCCATCCTCTGCTTCCCAGGCCATAAGCTAGATGGGAAGTGAAACAGCCAGGACACGAACTGGTGCCCACATGGGATGCCAGTGCCACAAGGTGGAAGATTAGCTATCTATGCCACTATACTTGCCTTGTCCCTGAACATTTTTAAAGAGTACAAACCAATTTTCTGTCTTTCCCCTGCTAGAGTTTATCTATATCTTCATGATGATGGGACTAAGGTTGTGCATTTGTACTTGGCTGTGTTGACCAACACTGGGATCCTGCCCGCTTGTGTGGGGTTTGGAACTGCCTGCACCCTTCTGACTTTGTTCTCTGGAGCAAGCCCTGCCTGGGGCTCTGGCCCATGCTTGGCTGTGGTGCTGTAAGAAGGAGTACATGCTAGGTGCACAGAGGCCCTGGGCATGCAGCTGGCAGGCCACAAAGGCACTGATTGGGCATGGAGGATGTCTGACAGAGTGCCTTGATTTGCTCCTGGGCTCCGCCACTCCTGATGCGGGCTTTTCTTGCTGATGTGTGCCCCCGGAGACGACAGGTGATGGCACAGGCCTTGGGTCCCTGCCGCTCATGCGGGACAGCTGTACATGGTTCCAGGCTCCTGGCTTTGGCTTGGTTTGGCTCTGCCCCAGCAGCTGCAGGTATGTGAAGGTGGGGAGCCAGCAAGTGGAAGATCTGTCTCTATGTCTAGGCCTCTCAAAGACATTTTCGGCAGGGAGTCACCGTGCTGGGGGCTGCCCCAGGCCAAGCTTGGGACAGGCAGGAAACTTGGGGCAGGCTGAGAGAAGCCGCCTGCCTGGAATCAATAGATGGGACCCAGAGGGAAGGCAGAAGCACAGGGAGCCCCAGGTCAGAGTCCTAACTCCTCCGTCCTCTGTCCCCTCAGTTCTTCCCCAACGGAGAAGCCATCTGCACTGGCTCGGATGACGCCTCCTGTCGCCTGTTTGACCTGCGGGCTGACCAGGAGCTGACCTCCTACTCGCACGAGAGCATCATCTGTGGCATTACGTCCGTCGCCTTCTCCCTCAGCGGCCGCCTGCTCTTTGCTGGCTACGACGACTTCAACTGCAATGTTTGGGACTCCATGAAGTGTGAGCGTGTGGGTAAGGAGCAGCCACGTGGACACTCCCAGCTCCTGCACTGTTTGCTATTCCCCAGTTTGCTGAACAGCTCTATTCCTGGGGACCCAGTACCCTTGGTTCCCACCATGGGTACCCCCAGTTACCCTTCTCTGCTACCCAGTGCCCTGGTGACTCTCTACTGGTCATTTCCCTTCTGAGTTCCTGGCGCTTCACAGGTGCTCAGTGAAGGAAAGTGCAGTCCCGGGGAGCAGAATCAAGGGGCTCTGAGGAGACCCGAGGATCTGACCCCCAACCCAGGGATTGAGCTGGAACTAGCCCAGGCTGCAGCTGAATCTGAGCACGGTGAGAGAGGCCAGGCCTGGCAGAGTTGCCCTGCACAAGTCAGGTGCTCACTGTCGGAGGGTCCTTGAGCCAGCCACTTCTCTATGGGCTGCACTTCTTCTGGAACCAGGGGACCCAGAAGCAAAGCTTACCTTCCCTATCACCCAAGTTCTTGACAAGAAACAGACCTCAACAGCAAGCCTTTCCTCCTGGGCGAATCCTCCTTCAGTCTCCCTCAGGGTGCTTAGGACTAGCCTGCCCAACCCTGGCTTCCCAAGCACCAGCTCCTGCACCCACACAAGCATGCATGCCGCTTTCCTGGGTCTGCATGGGAACTGGCCGACCCCTCCCTCTCTCCCTCAGGCATCCTCTCTGGCCACGACAACAGGGTCAGCTGCCTGGGAGTCACAGCCGACGGGATGGCTGTGGCCACTGGCTCCTGGGACAGCTTCCTCAAAATCTGGAACTGACGAGGCTGCAGGCGGAAGGCCATGAAGACACTCCCCACGCCAGCCCTCCCACACCTAACCTCTTTCCGGTTTCCTCTTCTCGCCCAGGTGCCACTAAGCTGTCCCCTTAGAGGGTGGGGTGTGGGGGATGTGGGGAGTTGTGCCTTTGGGAGGCAGCATCAGGGACACGGGGCAAACAGTTGCCCATCTCCTCCTACGGCCCCTCTCCCCATAGTCCTCACGGCCTCTCCTTTAGCCAGCAAAGAAAACTGACCCCTGCCCAGCCCCTTGCAGGCCCAGTGTCAGACCCCAGGCCCCAGGGTTTCTTCCCCAGAGCCACTCTCTTTGTCCAGCTCTGGGTGAACCAGGGCACTTTGCCCCATGACTGGGGCCCCAGCACCCCCAGGCTCCTGGCTCCTTTTTCTGCCATTTCTCCCTCTCTTGAAGCCCCTGCAATAAAGTGTAGCCGCCTGGTACACCTGGCACACTTGCCTTCCTCTTTCTCCACTCCCGGCCCCTTCTGTTCTAGAGACCTAGGTGCCATCTAAGGGCAATAATGTGCTACAAGTGTTATGAAAAAAGCCAGGTGCTAGACAGAAAGAAGGTGACAACCAGATACCAGGTCACCAGAGATGGGGACAGAGGACCGTGTTCCTGTGGGCTGTGTATATGCACATAATTATGCTGCCAAGTCGGTTTTTAAAAGGCCCCAGATGCCAGGCTGAAGTGGCTAGACGCGGCCTGGGGGCAGTGGGAAACGTAGCAGTGTGGGTTGATGAAATGGAGAAGAAAGCGACACGAGGGAAACAAGGGGGCAGGTGGCAAGTGGAAGCATGAGAGGACAGGAAGGGGCTACAGACCCTCCAGGTCCTGGTGACTGTCGGGATGTGGAAAGGGAAGGCATTGTGGATAAAGCGAAGCCACTGCGTTAATGTCAGCATCATACATGGGTACCCGTTCATACCCTGCTCTCCGCTGCTGCCCCAGCTCCCCATTCATGGACTGAGAGAGGCAGTGGGAGATGGATGAAGTGCTTAGGTCCTTGACACGCACTCAGGAGAGGTGCTCCTCCTGGAGAGCAGAAGGAAGAACAGAAGAAAAATGTAACTTTTCAAAACATGATTTAAAATCATTTCCTTTAATACACAAGAAACAATTGCTTCTCAGCCCCTTGGCTAAGATCAAATATAATGTACAAGAAACATGTGAGACACTGAGAAAGCCCAGAGTGGACCCCAGGAGGCATCTCGGGGAACAGAGGGAGATGGGGGACAGACACGGATGTCCCTGGGCGGACCCAGGGCTGGCTCCATCACAGGGCCTGGTTCTCTACCAACGGAAAGTGCTGGTTTTCCTTGTCATGCTCCTGGCCTTGCTCCCACACGCGCCCTCTGGTTTTCAGAAGCCGTCCGGTCCCAAGCAGGGTTCCTTCCTTCAGTTCTCGAACATTCTCAGTGAGCGGGGAAGGCCGCTTCCCCTGCAGAAGACAGTACACAAGTGGCCAGCAGCTTGGCGGGAGAGTTACCGGTCCAGCCGTGGCTTCCACCTGCTCTCCCCTTACCTGCCGGGGTGTCAGTGTGCCCGGGGAGTTGTCATCCTGCAGGATGGTGAGGGGGGACCTCCCTAGCACCTTGCCATTCGGTTTCCGTCTGTTGAGCTTGGAATCTAGGACAGGAAAGGCGGTACCACGAGGACTCAGCATCACGGATTCTAGTCTATTCCAGCGATGCCCTCCCCAGTGCATGACCCCCGGGAGGGTCACCCTCTGGTTTACCATGAGAGTCTGCCCCTGCAGGCCTTGGTGTCTCGGGGTCTCTCGAGAGCTTTTCTGTGCTCCTGCTGGCCCCAGCGGGCTCTCTGGGTGGTCTTGCTTCCTCCATGGGGAGCCCCTGTGGGGCAGTCCACCTCTGATCCTCGAGGCATGACTGCTCACCAGGAGGCGAGTCTGAGTCCACTGAGGAGGGCGCCTCCGGGGCTACAGCTGGCCCTGGGCACAGGGTGGCTCCAGAGGCTTCGTTGTCAAACACATCACTCAGCTGTTTGACCAGGAGGTCTGGAAGGTCTACAGGAGGAAAGCCAAGTGAGCAGGGACATCATTCAGCGAGCCGGGGTAGGGGGCGACACTCAGGGGGTGAGGGAGTGGGCAGGGGAGCCCAGCTTTGCTGAGGTCCCCCGCAGAGTCAGGGGTCACAGAACGCCTCAGCCACTCCTGCGGGCCCCACGCTCACCTCCACTGCTGGTCTTCATGGGGGTTCGCGAGATGCCAAGCGTGGGTGAGCGGGGATCTGCATCCTGGGCCTGCGTGGCGCTCCCCAGCTGTTCTCTTGCGGGCAGGCTAGGCTGGGGAGAACTCTCCACCTGCCAGGACAATGGGGTTAGGGGCTTGACTCTTCTGACTCCTTCCCAAGTTCCAACCAGGATTGCCAAGACCCTGAGACTTGGTCCACCCCCATGCAGGTTGAGAATGCAGAAAAATAAGGGCCTCAGGGTCAGGGGTGGGGAACCTCTCCGAGAGGCCCGGGGACTCGCAGGGTCCTCCCCTCTGCCCCCGCCGTACCTGGATGGGAGTGCGCTGGATACCGGCGCTGGGTGAACGGGGGTCAGCCACGCGCGCCAGGTGCTTGTTGTGTGGTGGAGGCCGCGCTGGGGTGACCGGGACACTCTTGGCTGAGCCCATTTCAGCCGGGAAGAGTGGGGCTGGGGCAGGGCCCGGCCCGGGACAGGAGGAGGGGATGCCTGTGGGAAATAACTCGGGCCTCAGCTCCCACCGCGACCAAGGGCACGCCTCGGATCCCCGGCCCGCCCGAGCTCGCAGCGGGGGGGACCTCTGCGGTGCAACTGGCAGAGCAGCGGGTGATGCCAGGCAGGCTGGGCTCCATCGTTTATTCATTTATTTAAAACACTTACCGGGTTCCAATTTCGGGGTATACCAGTCCGGAGTTCAACTCCCCGAGCTCCGCGTTTCAAACCTCCCGCCACGCCCCCTGCTCTAAGCTTATTGGCTCAGCCGATGCAGGCTCCCATTGGCTAATTGCGTGAGACCCGCCTCCAGATGAAGACGCCATTGGTCTGCCAGGTTGCCTACCAAGGACGCGAAGGGCCAATGGACGGAGGCCTGGCTTGCCCGCCCCGCCCAGGGTGACGCCTCTTTGCTGAGGATATTTTTATTCTGAATCTGCCCGCCAGCCCCCCATCGCGGAGACGTGCCAATTTCAATAACCAGTTATTTTTTTTTGTTGAAAACAGAACTTTGAACTATTCACGCCCAAATCCAGCAAGGGACGGAGTTACGACGGCGTTCCTGAGGGCGAGAGAGACAGTGATCCTTATTGGTTGGCGGAGTTATCAATCACTCGGCCCTCATCCGCTCATTCTCACTGGGTAGCCCCTCTTTAGAAACAACAAAAAAAGACCTGCTCGTCTATTTTCCGACTGGAGAAGACCTAGGGAAGTGGGATCGAGAGCTTTAAGTAACTGTGAGCTCCTGGTCTTCTATAGAAAGCACGCAGAGACTGCGGAGTCGGCAAACCCCAGGGCTCCACCTGCGCCCCGCCCTAGAAGAGTGGGATTGGCTCTCCCGGCCGTCAATTGCAGCACGGGCGCTTTTCATTGGCCTTCAGTCAAGAGCAGGCTGGGGGCGGAGCGCTAGTATGCCCCGTCCAACCGCCCTGCTCGCGCCTCCTCCCTCTCGCGCATGCGCCCGAGGAGTAGCGCTGATTGGCCAGGGGCGAGCAGGGGGCGGGGCCCGGGGAGTGGTGGGAGCCGCTGTGTGTGGACGAGCTGCTGCCGGTGTCATGGCGGAGCTGAGTGAGGAGGCGCTGCTGTCAGTATTACCGACGATCCGGGTCCCAAAGGCTGGAGACCGGGTCCACAAAGACGAGTGCGCTTTCTCCTTCGACACGCCGGTAAGCCCATTCCCCACGCCCGCAGCGAGCACGACTTCCTTCCATCTCCCTGGTCATTCTGCCGGGGCCTGCAAGGCTTGGGCGACCGCCTCCATGTGGTGCATCATGGTACTTGTAGTTTCCCACGATCCTCTGTGTCGTTATCTTCCATCGGGCGAGGCTTGTAGTGCGACTACTATTCCCGGAAACCGTCGCACTCGCCGGGCCTGCCGTCTTGTTCCCGGAGCACTGTGGGCCTTGTAGTCTCTCACCGCTGTCGTTCCCTTTCTAAGTCAGGGACTCAGCCGGACGGTCGGACTACATCCCCCAGGGGCACGCCTGCCAAAGCTGGGAGTCGGCCTCGCCCGCCGCGCGCTGCTCTCCGGGTTTTGTAGTCTCGTATAGGAGGAATGGGGGGCGACTCCCCACTGTTCTGTGTCGGGCTTGGGGTCGGCGGTGCGTGAGGACTGCAGTTCTCTGGGGGCTATATCCTCTGGAAATGGGCTATGAAGAAGACTGATTCTGGGAAAGTCCGAGTTAGGGAGCCTGCACCCGTGGTTCACGTGGACAGGGGGCGGAGAGGGAGGTTGGTGGGGGTAGAGAGGCGAGGAAAGCTCTCGTCGTTTCTCCTTGGACGTGAACCATGGCCGCAGCCCCGTTCCTGCTCCCCTCCCCGACCCCCACGCGGAGAGCATTCCTTTGAAGTATTCCTGGAGGAGATGGTTTCTTGGAGGATGCCGAGGTCCCGCTGCCATCCACTCCCACTTGACTAGGTAGACAAAGCTGCCACCCGCACCGCACTCCGCCTTTTGTGGTTCCCACCTGGTACCTCCCTCCTTGGAGTTCTGCGTTCCTATGTCATCCTGGCAGGACAGACCAATCTCTGTGGTCTGAACGGAGAGGGCCAGCCGCCTGCTCAGGATCCGCCCCTGGAGCTCTAGCGGGCCCTGCCCAGGGTGCTTAGCCCAGACCAGCCCATGGCCTGAAAACTGCAAGTCAGAATGGAAAGACTTGGCGTATGGTATCCCAATGCTGAGTGTCCTGGCAGGCCCCGCTTTGGGACCTGTGACTTCTGGTTTGCCGGACTTTAATCCCAGCCCCAGACTGTGTGGTGCCTTTCGGAGATCTGGTTTTGGCAGAGGTAAAAGAGGACTGCCCGGGCACAGCCCTGGGGGCCCAAGCTCCACCTGGAATCGGCATCTTTTATTTACAGGAAAAAACAGTACAGGAGAGCCAGGTTCTTCTCACAAGTCTGAGGGTCTCTGCTTACACATTTTTTTTTTTTCTCTCTCTCTCTTTAAAGACTTACTTACTTATTGGAAAGTCAGAGTTAGGAGAGAGAGAGAAGGATCTTCCATCCACTGATTCACTCCCTGGGTAGCTGCAGCAGCTGGGTCTAGAGCCAAGGGGCCAGAGCTTCTGCCAGGTCTGTCACACAGGTGCAGTTGAACCTTCCTCCGCTGCTTCCCCAGGAGCATCGGCAGGGAGCTGGGTGGGAAGTGAAGCAGCCGGGACTCGAATCAGCGCTCTTAATGGGAGGCTGGCGTTGCAGCCACAGTCCAGTCCTCTCTATACTTTCATTCACTCCCTTCCCTGTCTCTCCTTAGGAACGACTTTGAATAACGCAGAAGGGCTTTTGTAATTTCCTGACAATTCTCTTTCATTCCCATGTGGCCCTGTTGCCTTTGCTAACCACCTTCAGGTGCACTTGATTCCCAGTTGGGCTCCGAGTGGAGCTGCGCCAACCTCGTCGTGAACAACGCTCCGTTTGTGGAGGAGCACTGCTGTCCGTGCTTGCCTAGGACTGAGCCAGGGCCTGCCCTGTTTTCCACACTGCAGCAGAGGAGTGTCTAAGGCCAATGAGGTTTTTTTGTTCTGGAAAGAGGACGCCTTCAAAGCCCTAGTCCCGTTTCCTCCCTCCCTCCGCAGCACCAGCACCGCCTCATCTGATACGCTCAGCTCTGACGCAGAGTGGCCACCAACTGGCCCTGCTCTGCTTGCACTAGGTGTCCCAGCTGTCTCAACAGGTGTTGCTAGATTGTTCTAAGAAAGGGAGATTGCAGGTTGACAGGACAGCAAGTGAAGAGAAGGTGATGGCTGGGAGCTGCAGGCTGCCCGCTGGCCTGGGTCCAGCTTTAGCTGGGAGTCGTAAGCAAGGCATTGTTCCCCTGCAGTAAAACTCACTCAGCAGGAGAGAAGGGAGCAGACTTGTGGTGTGGCCCCAGGTGGGCTACCTGGGAGAGGATAGTAAAGCAAGGGCCTGGGCTGGGAAGCCTTTGTGAATCCTGAAGATGAGGTGCGGTGTGTCTGAGATGCTGTGGGTTTGGATCCAGTGCCTGACTTGCAGCTCTTTCCTCTCCCAGAAGTGTCATCGCTGGCACCCACAGTCTGTAATTTGATCTGTTTACTTTTTTTTAAAGATTTATTTATTTTTACGGGAAAGGCAGATACATAGAGAGGAGGAGAGACAGAGAGGAAGATCTTCCATCCGATGATTCTCTGCCCAAGTGACTGCAATGGCCGGTGCTTCGCTGATCCGAAGCCAGGAGCCTGGAACTTCCTCCAGGTCTCCCACGCTGGTGCAGGGTCCCAAGGCTTTGGGCCATCCTCGAATGACTTCCCAGGCCACAAGCAGGGAGCTGGATGGGAAGTGGAGCTGCTGGGACATTAAGCGGCACCCATATGGGATGCTGGCGCAAGCAAAGCAAGGACTTTAGCCACTGGGCCACTATGCCGGGCCTGATACGTTTACTCTTGGCCAGGGAAGAAGAGAAGGGGGTTTTGCTGAGATTGATTGGAAGATAGGAAATGCTGAGAAAAGAGCAAGGGAGAAGGTCAATGGTTGTTGCTGGGGGTCGCTCAGCGCCAGGGTCCTTTTGGCTGTTGTCAGAGCCAAAGAAGGAAATGGTGTGTGCCTAGTTCTGTAAGGCAAGAGGTGGACATTTGGTGCAGTGGTTAAGATGTCATTCTGAGGACTGACATGAGGTACAGCAGATAAAGCTGCCATCTGCGACACCAGTGTCCTAAATGGGCGCCCATTCCAATTCTGGCTGTTCCATGTCTGATCCAGCACCCTGCTGGTGGCCTGGGGAAGCAGCTTGGGCCCCTGAACCCATGTGAGAGACCTAGAAGAAACTTCTGGCTCCTGGACTTGGCCTGGTCCAGCCCTGGCCATTGCAGCTTTGGGAGTGGACCAGTGGATAAACAATCTGGCTTTCCTTGTTTCTGAAACGCTTTCATATAAATATTTTTGAGATGCCACTTGGGGTGCCTGCATTGCAGTCCCACCCAGCTCCACTTCCAGTTCATTTTCATGCCAGTGTGCGCCCTGAGAAGCAGCAGATGGTAGCTCAAGCACTGGGGTCCCAGGTACCTCGGGGGGAGACCCGGAGTGAGTTCCAGGCTCCTGATTTAGACCTGACCTGGTCTCAGCTGTTGATGAACCAGCAGATAGAAAGTCTGTCCACTGGTCGGCCTGTCTGCACTTCCTGTTTAAAATCAGTCAGTCGGTGAGAGGGTTCCCGAGAAGTGAGGACGTAAGTTCTTTGATTTCGTGTCTGGCAGGAGTCCGAGGGCGGCCTGTACATCTGCATGAACACGTTCCTGGGCTTCGGGAAGCAGTATGTGGAAAGACACTTCAATAAGACTGGCCAGAGGGTTTACCTGCACCTGCGGCGAACCCGGCGTCCGGTAGGGGTGGGGCTGGGGTGTGGGGCACAGGCCTTCCAGATATGTCCCCTGAGTGCCCACATGGGATCTCTGGGGGCTGCTCCACCGCCCATCTCTGCCTACTTGTGTCATTAAACGCGGCTTCCTTCTGTTCCACAACACCCCCACCCCCCCCATTCCCTCCGTGGTGCTCTTGGCAGAAAGAGGAGGACACTGCTTCGGGCACTGGAGACCCACCCCGCAAGAAGCCCACCCGACTGGCCATTGGTGAGCCCCACTGCACCTCTGTTCACCCCAAGGACTGATGGGCAGCCCCACCGCTGGAGGGGCCGGGCACTGTGCCACAGTGGAGGAACAACATGGCCTCCCCCCACTCATACTTGCACCTCTGCCCC